GATTAAACTGTGAGACTGTCAAGAAATCAGAAGATGATAGGACTTGGAAAAGCAGTTATGAAGGAACAAGACAAGATCCTCAAGGATAAAGATATATAATTGAATAGTAAAGTTAAAACAGTCCACGCCATCATGTTTCCAGTTTCTGTATGTGGCTGTGAAAACTGGGCAGTGAAGCATGCCGACAGGAAGAAAATCAACTCATTTGAAACATAATGCTAGAGCAAATCAACCCTGAGCAATTCTAAGAAGCCAAGATAATGAACCTAAAGCTACTGGACTTTGGCCAAACCATGGGAAGACATGACTCACCAGACAAAACAATAAAGCCTGGTAAGGTAGAAGGCAGCAGGAAAAGAGAAAGATGGCTAAGGCTCCATCAAGGAAGCCATGGTCCCTTGAAGCTAAGGGCCCTTCTACACAGCCATATAACCCAGAATATCGAGGCAGAAAATCCCACAATATCTGTTTTGAACTGGGATATCTGAGTCTACACTGCCATTTATCCCAGTTCAAAGCGGAAAATGTGGGATTTTATTCAGTTGTGTGGAAGGGGCCTAAAATGCCTAGGGCCCTTCCACACGGCCCTATATCCCAGAAAATCTCACATTATCTGAGTGTGGACTCAGATAACCCACTTCAAAGTAGATATTGTGAGATTTTCTGCCTTGATTTTCTGGGATAGAGGGATGTGTGGAAGGGCTCAGGGTTATCTGAATCCACACTCAGACAATGTGGGATTTTCTGCCTTGATATTCTGGGATATAGGGCTGTGTGGAAGGGCCCTGAATGAAAAACCCATGAATCACTAATAAAGGATGATAACGTCTGGTAAGTCAGTAGGAAAAGAGGAAGACCACATCACTTATATCAAGAAAGACTCAATCTAGGAAACTAAGGCCTTAAATTTGTAAAAATTGAACAGGGCTGTTGTTGATAAGGTGACATGGAGGTCTATCAGGCCTCTTCCAGATCTGAATAGAATCCCATATTATCTGCTTTGAACTGGACTATATGGCAGTGTGGACTCAGATAACACAGTTCAAAGTAGATATTGTGGAATTTTCTGCCTTGATATTCTGGGATATAGGGCTGTGTGGAACGTCCTATGGCCTCAAGTTTATAAAAAACGGATCTGTGCTGTTGTTGATAAGGTAACATGGAGGTCTCTTCAGTTGTTGGACCACCATAGGCCGAAGGACCTTTTGAAGGCCATTTGACACCACTTTAGTTGTCGTGGCTCAATGCTATGGAAGCCATGCCGTATGAGGAATGGCTTAGGGAGCTGGGTCTGTTTAGCTTGGAGAAAAGAAGACTGAGAGGGGCATGAGAGCCATAGTTAAATATTTGAAAGGATGCCATATTGAAGAGGAAGCAAGTTGATTATTTATGTTGTGGCACAGTGGCTTAAAGCACTGAGCTGCTGAGCTTGTTGATCAAAAGGTCGCAGGTTCGATTCTGGGGAGCGGCGTGAGCTTGCGCTGTCAGCCCTAGCTTCTGCCAACCTAGCAGTTTGAAAACATGCAAATGTGAGTAGATCAATAGGTACCGCTCCGGCAGGAAGGTAACGGCACTCCATGCAGTCATGCCGGCCACATGACCTAGGAGGTGTCTATGGACAACGCTGGCTCTTCGGCTTAGAAATGGAGATGAGCACCACACCCCAGAGTCAGACATGACTGGACTTAATGTCAGGGGACTACCTTTACCTTTACCTTTTTAATGTTTTTATGTGAATTTTGATATTATGTATATTACTTGTTGCTTGTAAACCGCCTTGAGTCGCCGAAAGGCTGAGAAAGGGGGTATACAAATACAGTAAAATAAATAAATAAATAAATAAATAAGCTTGTTTTCTGCTACTCTGGGGGCCCTTCCACACAGCTCTATATCCCAGAATATCAAGGCAGAAAATCCCACAATATCTGTTTTGAACTGGGTTCAAAGTCTGATATGGCTGATAGGAGAGATAATACCAAGAGCGATCCTTTCTGGGGGGGGCACGCCAGCTGAGACCCTGGCGTGGAATCACGTCCAAAAGCAAACCAGAGCGAGGATAAAGGCGTTGACTTTCCCTTTTATATATCTTGAAATGCAGGCAAACAAAGAAACATGCTTCTACATAGGTAACATAATCATTACATCACTTTAGCATCATAGAAATATAAAATTATATCTTTTAACATGCAAGGGGCATGTCTCAAAAGAGAAGCTACTTTTGACCTGTCAGGAGGGAGGGAGGGAGAGAAACTCCTCACTTTTGACTTATCTCTGTTGGTACCAGGACTTTCTTATCTCCGAATGTGCACCCCCCTCTTGCCTGTGCCTTGGACACAGATCCTTCAGCTTCCCTTTGTCCTGTCAGATTGGCTTTCTAATACAGAGAAAACCTGATTTTTCTGACATTTCAGTGCTTATAAAGTACATGCAATATATGAATAAATATCTATATTTCCTTTATCTCCACATCAAGTCCACACTCAGATAATGTGAGATTTTCTGCCTTGATATTCTGGGATATAGGGCTATGTGGAAGAGTCCAGGGACACACAAAACCAATGGATCCAAGCTGTAGGAATAGCAATTCCACCTAAATTGGGCTTGGGCAAACTCGGGCCATCCCTCCAGGTGTTTTGGACTTCAACTCCCACCATTCCTAACAGTCTCAGGCCCTTAACTTTAAGAGTGTCTGAAGGGGAAAAGTAAAGGGTCTGAGGCTGTTAGGAATGGTGGGAGTTGAAGTCCAAAACACCTGGAGGGATGGCCCGAGTTTGCCCAGGCCTGTTGTACAGTGTAGGAATGTTCCCAATGTTGACAGCTGTTAACAAAGACAGAGAGCAAGGCTTCCTATCGCTCAGGCAAACAGGTCGGAGCCTGAGGAGCAAGGACAGCAGCAGGCCCAGGCGTGACTCCTGTTGCCTCAGGGCACTTCCAGACAGGCCCTATTATATCTCAGGATCTAATCCAAGGTTTTCTGTTTATTCCAGATTATCTGGGAGTGCGGACTTTCCCTCTTTCAGGGCACATTCTGCAGAGGAGGAGGAGGAGGAGACTCCTAAACCAAAACATGACGGAGGCATATATACAGTGGAATTAATGCAGCGTTGAAGTTGCATCAAGCTGCACCCCTTCTTCAGTGTAGCTGCTACCCCCAAGGACGTGGGAAATGAGGAGGGGCCCTTCCACACAGCCCTATATCTTTTTCAAGGCAGAAAATCCCACATTATTTGAGTGTGGGCTCAGATTATTTATTTATTTACAACATTTCTACCCCACTCTTCTCAACGCTCACAAGGGGACTCAGAGCGGTTAACAATGGCAACAATTACATGCCGCAAATAATACATTATACAGTAATAGCAAGATAAAATAATACAATACAATAGATTAAAAACACACAAGAACAACAACAAAACTTTATTTATACACCGCTCTATCTCCCCGAGGGGACTCAAAGAGGTTTCCAAATAACATAATCAATACATACAAGGAAAACAGCATAAACATAAAATTAACAAGACAATATAAGCATTAAAAACCACAATAGCACATATATATTTAAAATAATCCTGCCTGTTCAAGGCAATTTAAAAGGCTGGGCAATTTTAGAGGGCCCAGGAAATTAGGTAGAGTCTATGGCTGTACATTTCCAGGGCCTAATAGAAGAAAGTAACCTGGTTAATTGGTAGAAAAATATATGGCCAATTTCAACAGTATCTGGGGCTAAGCTAGAACTAGTCGTTCTCAAAGGTTTGTTTAAACCACCAGGTCTTCAGGCTCTTACGAAAGGAGGGGAGGGATGGGGCCTGTCTTATTTCTCTAGGAAGGGCATTCCAGAGGTGGGGGGCCACCACCGAGAAGGCCCTCTCTCTCTCTCGTCCCACCAACCGTACTTGTGACAGTGGTGGGAGTGAAAGGAGGACCTCCCTGGAAGATCTTAAAGTCCGTGCCGGTTCATAGAGGGAGATACGATCACAAAGGTAGGCGGGGCCCGAAACGTTTCACACATTAATTATATAATCGTAAAGCCATTTCCATTATAACAATCATATGGTCTGGTTCAATGTTCAAAGTGCTGTTGTGCCTGCTAACCTAAAGCCTGGTTCCAAAACCACGTTTTCATTTTTTTTTGCTAATAATATAATATATTGTATGTAATATATATATGAATGGAGCCCCCGGTGGCGCAGTGGGTTAAAGCACTGAGCTGCTGAGCTTGTTGATCGAAAGGTCGCAGGTTCAATTCCGGGGAGCGGCGTGAGCTTCCACTGTCAGCCCTAGCTTCTGCCAACCTAGCAGTTTGAAAACATGCAAATGTGAGTAGATCAATAGGTACCGCTCCGGCGGGAAGGTAACGGCGCTCCATGCAGTCATGCCGGCCACATGACCTTGGAGGTGTCTACGGACAACGCCTGGCTCTTCGGCTTAGAAATGGAGATGAGCACCACACCCCAGAGTCAGACATGACTGGACTTAATGTCAGGGGACAACCTTTACCTTTTACATTATCATCATCATAATCAGAACAACTACATCATCATCATCATTGTTATTATTATTATTATTATTATTGTTATTGTACCATTATTTGCTTTGAAGTGGAATATATGGCAGTGTGAACTCAGATATCCCAGTTTAAAGTAGATATTGTGGGATTTTCTGCCTTGATATTCTGGGTTATATGGCTGTGTGGAAGGGCCCTCAGAACTCGTGTCCCTACATTATATGTCTCTTCATACGTGTATAAGTATGTTTTGATGATATTACACATGTTGTGGGTAATAGGACATCTCAGCTCGCTTCCCATGGGGCGAATTATTGCAACAGACGGCTGCCCCACCCCAGGTTCCCTCAGGAAATGGGGGAGGAAAGGAAGGAGCGACAGAGCAGCCCTCCTCATCCCAGGCTCATGCCTCCCTCTTTCTCCATAGGGACTGCTTGCTTATGATGGCTTTCCGTGACGCCACCGCCAATCAGTGAAGGCGAAGGGGGCGTGGCGGCACAAAGCCACGCCCCCTTCTGCTCCCAAGAAGGAGCGCTGTCGGCGAGGTAGCGGCCAAGGCTGCATTTGGCGGAGGGAAGGCAGCGGCGCGGGATCGGAGGAAGGAAGGCACGCAGAAGACTCTTCGCCTCGCGCGGGCCTCCTTGTCTCCCTCCGCCATGGGCAACACTGTGGCTCGGGAGGACTTCGAATGGGTTTATACGGACCAGCCGCACGCCGACCGGCGCAAGGAGATTCTCAGTGAGTGAGCATGAGCGCGTGCGTGCCCCCCGAACGTTCTATTTCCAACGGCGCCTCAGGCGAGGCCTCTTTGCCTCCTTCCTTCCTTCTTTCTCCTTCCGCCCCTCAGGCGCCTAACTGTTTCTTCTGAGGGCCCTTCCAAGGACTTCTTTTTCTCTCTCTCCTCAAGGAGGGCCTGCTCTTCTCTTCTGAGGAGGCGGGAGGCGCGCCTGAAGAAGCATCAGGAGATCCCCATGAGTCAGTCTGAGGAGAAGGAGGAGGAGACAAGACGCCCGTTATCACACGCTCTCGTCGTCGTCCTCCTCCTCCTTCCTGCCTCCTTGGCCCATCTCCCTCCGTGGGCCGCGCCCCACTTGTCTCTCGTGATCTTGCTGCCTCCTCAGTTCTTTTAAATTACTATTTTAGGTGGCGGCTTTAGAGCAATTTAGGCTTTCCTTCTTTCCTTTCGCAGGGACTGAGGAGGGTCATGGAATCCTAAAATTGGAAGAGCCACCCAGCCCAAAGTGGTGGGTTTAGATCAGGAGGGCCTCCAACTCCTTTTTGTCAAAGGCCAGGCCAGCCTTATGAAGAATCCATGGATATACAGCAGGCCTGAGCAAACTTGTGCCTCCCTTGGCTTATAAGGCTGTGTGGAAGGGTCCTTAAACGCAGAAGCTGGGTCTAGATCAGGTTTTGACTCCTTTTTGTCAAGGGCCAGACCAACCTCATGAAGAATTCATGGATATAGAGCAGGCCAGAGCAAACTTGTGCCTTCCTTGGCTTATAAGGCTGTGTGGAAGGGTCCTTAAACACAGAAGCTGGGTTTAGATCAGGTTTTGACTCCTTTTTGTCAAGGGCCAGACCAGCCTTATGAAGAATCCATGGATATAGAGCAGGCCTGGGCAAACGTGGACCTTCCTTGGGTTATAAGGCTGTGTGGAAGGGTCCTTAAATGCAGAAGCAGCTAACAATGATGCATAGTACATTACTTCTAGCCCCCATCTACACATTTAATACTTTTCCAAACCAGAATCAAAGAAAACCCTGGAGAAGTTTGAAAGCACTGGGTTGCTGTAGTTTTTTTCAGGCTATATGGCCATGTTCTAGAGCAGGGGTCCTCAAACTAAGGCCCGAGGGCCGAATGTGGCCCTCCAAGGTCATTTACCCGGCCCTCGCTCAGGGTCAACCTAAGTCTGAAATGACTTGAAAGCACACAACAATCCTGGGTTGTTGTAGGTTTTTCCAGGTTATATGACCGTGTTCTAGAGGCATTTTCTCCTGATGCTTTGCCTGCATCTATGGCAAGATGCAAGATTGCCATAGATGTAGGCAAAACATAAGGAGAAAATGCCTCTAGAAAGAATAGTGGTTCTCAACCTGGGGTCTCCAGATGTTTGTGGCCTATAACTCCCAGAAATCCCAGCCAGTTTAGCAGCTGTCAGGATTTCTGGGAGTTGAAGTCCAAAAACATCTGGGGACCCCAGGTTGAGAACCACTGCTCTAGAACATGGCCATATAACCCGGAAAAACTTACAACCACCCAGTGATTCCGGCCATGAAAGCCTTCGACAATACAACAACAATCCTATCTCATCAACTAAAAGCAGGCGCACACTTACCATTGAAATACTAATAAGTTTATATCTGCTAAAATTGTTCTTCATTATAATTATTGTATTGTTTTTAAGTGTATAGGATTTTTTCTTCAAATTATAATCCAGCCYTCCAATAGTTTGAGGGACTTTGACCTGGCCCTCTGTTTAAAAAGTTTGAGGACCCCTGTTCTTGAGGCATTCTCTCCTGACGTTTCGCCTGCGTCTATGGCAAGCATCCTCAGAGTTAGTGAGGAGAGAATGCCTCTAGAACCAGGGGTGCACAAACTTTTTAAACAGAAGGCCAGGTCACAGTCCCTCAAACTGTTTGAGGGCCGGATTATAATTTGAAAAAAACATGAATGAATGCCTATGCACATGGCACATATCTTATTTTTAGTGCAAAAACACTTTCAAACAGTACAATAATTAAAATGAAGAACAATTTTAATATAAGCTTATTTCAATGGGAAGTGTGGGCCTACTTTTGGGTGATGAGATAGGGTTATTTTTGTTGTGTGCTTTCAAGTCGTTTCAGACTTAGGTTGACCCTGAGCAAGGGCCAGGTAAATGACCTTGGAGGGCCGTATGCGGCCCCTGGGCCTTAGTTTGAGGACCCCTGCTGTAGTACATGGTCATATAGCCCAAAAAAACCTACAATAACCCAGTGGTTCCGGCCATGAAAGCCTTCAACAATACAATTTTAAAGCAGTTTAAAGCCAGATGGTGAGGACACAAACCACAGAGCACCGATGAGCACAAAGGGTTTTCTTTCTTATTTTTGTCCACTTTTGGGGGAGTTTGTTTTCTGCCTCCCACAGTTTGAATTGCATTAAATGCCTTAGCCAACTGACCTAACTTAATTGATACACCAGAACCACCTTGAATTATAGAATGAGAAGTTACAGAATATTGATTCAACAGTGTGGAGTATGCATGGGCTGTAGCCTGTTAGGAATAGTGGGAGCTGAAGTCCAAAACACCTGGAGGGCCGAGGTTTCATGTAGAGCAGGCGTGGACAAATGGGTCCTCCAGGTGTTTTGGACTTCAACTCCCACCATTCCTTACAGCCTCAGGCCCTTTCCTTTTTCCATAGCATTAAGCCTAGACAATGTGGCATCTAGCTGTATTAATTCTAGTGTAGTTTTAAAAGACACAGCATTCTCGTCCAAGGAGTGCTGGTGCCTCAACACGCCACATGATTCCACAGCATTGAACCCATGGCAGTTCAAGCTGTATCAACCTGAGTTGATTACACAGCATTGATGCATCCCATGTGTTTATGTTCTTGCCTAACAGCCTCCCTTGGCTTTCCACAGACAAGCCCATTTTGGGTAGTCCAGACTCTCTTTCTTTTGCAGAATGAACAAACACGTATTTCACATGACTACTTAGAAGTAAGCACCACTGCAGGGCTGGATTAAGACTGTGATTTATCATGCACACTAGAATCCCAAACTCAAGGCTGAATCTGTCGCGCCATGTCATTTCATGTGGTCCTCCAGATGCCAGACTACAACTCCAACCCCCCCCCCGCCCTGTTTTTTTGTGTCAGGTGTGGCTTGAGAAACTGCAAGTTGCTTCTGGTGTGAGAGAATTGGCTGTCTGCAAGGATGTTGCCCAGGGGATGCTTGGATGTTTGATATTTTACTATCCTTGTGGGAGGCTTCTGTCATGTCCTCACTTGGGAAGCTGGAGCTGACAGAGGGAGCTCAATCTGTTCTCCCCTGATTTGAACTGCTGACCTGTCAGCCAGTAGTCCTGCTGCCACAAAGGTGTAACCCATTGCGCCAATGGGGGATCAATATTCCCCAGCATGACAGGAGCCCATTCTCTCATACCTGAAGTGACTTGCAGTTTCTCAAGTCACTCCTGACATGAAAAAATAACACATAATGATTAGAATTGACAGGAGTTATGAGACAGTGACATCTGGAAAGCTGCAGTTTGTTCTGTGGGGTTTGGATTTAGATCAGTGGCTCCCAACCTTTGGCCCTCTAGTTGTTTTGGACTTCAACTTACCAGCTGTTAGGAATTGTGGGAGCTGAAGTCCAAAACGCCTGGAGGAGCAAAGGTTGGGAACCACTGATTGAGATACAAGGCTGGTGGATGGGATTTGCCGGATGTTCAAATGTTTTTATCCTTTTCCCCAACCTCAGAGCCACAAGTACTCATGGGTTGCAATTCCCTTTATCCCCAGTCTGCATAGTGGATAATCAAAAGTGATGGGAGTTGTCTTGTCCTCCAGTAACACCTGAGGGATCCAAAATTGCCTGGGGGGGGGGGGGGGAGGAGGATGCACTGACTAATATGTAACAAGATTATATTTGGCCCTCTAAATTAGCATAGGCAAATTTGGGCCCTCCAGGTGTTTTGGTCTTCAGCTCCCACAATTCATAACAACCTCAGACCTCTGGGTCCTGGAGTTTGGTGAAGATTAACTCTTTGGCAGAGAAATATAAAACCCTTGTTAAGCGATATGTCAGGGGTGCTTTGAATGCGATTTTTCTACTTCTTGGCAGGGGTTGGACTGGATGGCCCATGAGGTCTCTTTCAATTCTATGTTTATATGAAAACTCCCTAGAGCTGTGGCTGTTCAAGTGGTGTCAAACTGCATTAATTCAACAGTGTAGATGCATCATTAATTTGGAGATTGCAGGTTCAAAAGGACACATTCCCTGGCTACCTTGTGTGAATAAAGGAGGATTTTGCAGTGAATTATAGGAGGAATTATCAGAGACACAGTATATAGAGATTTCTGTTACACCAAGATGTTTGAAACTTACTGAAAAGAAGGGATCTGGTTAATTATCCCTATGACAGTTGTTGGGGAACTTTTGAGAGCTGACCATCCAAATATAGATGATTAAAGGACCTCTACTTCTGCTATGGTAAAGGAAGTGTTTTTGGGCTTTCTTAGAGCAGCATATATGTAGCACATGCATGTAGTTCTTGGCACAACTATACAGCCAATAGGGGTTGTAAGTTTGTTGTGTGCAGTTAGAAATAGTATTTGTTGTGTTAATCTCTTCAGTATTTCTCTAAGCATATTGAAAATCTGCAGTTAAAACTAACAGACACACATTTTGTTCTAGCATATGGATTCGATTCTTTTGAATTTAAACACTGGGTTTCTTGTAGTGCAGAATGATAAGACTTTGGTTCTAGGTTGCTTTTGTCTGGAATCTTTTCTTATTTTAGCTACCAAGAATGGGTAATAATAAATGTCATACAGTTAAATTACAATCCTTAGCCATTCACCTTCAGGTTGATACTTGTTTTTTGCTGTCTTAGTTTGCTGCAGCCAGTCATATCAACTTGCAGTAAAAGTTAACATGTTGGAGTTGGCATACCTGATAGCAATATTTGTTTTTTTTTTAGTAATTAATGTTCTTGGACTGATCAAGTGTATGTTGTTGTTCAAAGAAAAGAGGAATAGTATTTTGAGGGGTGATTGGTGCCATTATTGGGGAAATGCTCTCCCATGCTTATTTTATTCAAGAATGATTATCTAGTGTAAATAATATAAATGTCATTGCATTGTGACAACGTACTTATTCCTACAACATGTTCTGTGACCTTTGTGTTAGTCTGTAGGATTATTCTAAAGAATTCAGCATGTCCATGGCTTCCTAAACAAAGCAAAATCCAAATATGGTGGAAAGTTTTGCCAGAGATTTTGAAGAAAATCTATCTGTTGATACTTATCTAAAATTATTGTCTTTTATTTCTCAATAGGTAAACATCCGGAAATAAAGACCTTGATGAAACCAGATTATAATGTGGTCTGGTTAACTATACTGATGGTGTGTGCTCAGCTGGTTGCACTTTACCTGGTTAAAGATTTGGACTGGAAGTGGGTTGTATTTTGGTCCTACGTGTTTGGCAGTTGTCTTGATCATTCCATGACTCTGGCTATTCATGAGATTGCTCACAACAGCGCCTTTGGCAACTGTAAATCTTCATGGAATCGATGGTTTGGAATGTTTGCCAATCTTGCACTTGGCTTCCCATACTCCATATCTTTCAAGAGATACCACATGGATCATCATCGTTATCTTGGTGGTAATGGAATTGATGTGGACATTCCTACTGACTTTGAGGGATGGTTTTTCTGCACCCGTTTTCGAAAGCTCCTGTGGATTATACTTCAACCCTTATTTTATGCCATTAGACCTCTCAATATTAATCCAAAACCGATTTCTCGACTTGAAATCATCAATTTCGTAATTCAGTTTGCCTTTGATGGTTTGGTATACTATTTCCTGGGAATAAAATCACTTTTCTATTTGCTAGCAGGAGCAATTCTAGGATTAGGCTTGCACCCTATTTCAGGACATTTCATAGCTGAACATTATATGTTTTTAAAGGGACATGAAACATATTCATACTATGGGCCACTTAATAAGCTTACATTCAATGTTGGCTACCACAATGAACATCATGACTTTCCTAATGTTCCTGGATCAAGCCTTCCACTGGTAAGTACATAATATTGCATGCTTTTCAACTTTTGTAACTAGCTAATTCCTTGCTTGTCTGAACTCCTACCTGAAATGTCATGTGTAAAATTGTAAACGTGATCAAAATAATATGCATTCTGGGCCTATCCATGTTTCATTAGGACTTGCAAGGGCTTGTTTAAAATTGCAGTAATACATCAAATGTAAATCTTTGTGTCAAATTGAATAGCACAGTACTTCAGATCAACTTCATGCAGAGCAAACCTGTTGGGTTGCAGAGTGCCAATGCTAGAAATTCTGAACCAACCTCTAAAGACATCTTGGAGCCCTGGAGGCATGAACCCGGAATATCAAAGAGAGGATGAAGTGACATTTTCTCTTTCCAGAACCCTTACAAAGGAAAAAAACTGCTGCAATTCTTAATTGAAATCAAGTGGGAACAATGTATCTTCCAGCTCTGGTGGTGGTGATGATCGGGATCAGAAATAAGTCTAGGGTTGGGCTTGGAGGCCTGAAGTCAGTTTAATTTTGTAACTGCAGAGGAGGACACAAGAGAGAGGGTGCCAATGGATACATTTCCTTAAAGTTCAAAATACAGAATGCATTTGGTAAAACTCTTCTTCAGACCAATTTGAAAAGTGGCTCCTGGCCCTAAAAATTTGGTCACCACAATTTAAAAGTATGATGATCTAGTGCTGATTGCACTTTGTTCTAAGTAGTCAATTTTTCCATGTGACTCCTCTTAGGTAAGACTTGCTTGTTGTGTTCCTTCATGTGATTTCTAACTTACAGCTTTATGAGGTGGACCCTATCAGAGATTTCTGAGGCTAAAGGTTTATTAAACAGGGATTAAAACCTTGTTCTCCAGAGTCACAGCCCAGTACTCAAATGTTATGCCAAAAAACTAGCCAAAATCCAGCCTGGGAGGACTGAAAGTTTCCATTTTCATCTTCCAGGATAATGTCTTGTTTGCTGTATTGTGGATGGGGTGTTCTATTTCAAAAGCGATCATTTGTCATTTGTGAGTGTTGTTCACTCTCATAAAAAACTTCTGGTAGTCCTCAGGGATCTTGGGGGTTGCATGTAGCTTTCAGCAGTCATTTTTCTATCCCCGACATGAAGTTAGCCAGTGTTGTTACAGATGTGACAGAGGCTATTACCATTCAGTAAAGTAAATATTACGTTGCAAGCAGGCTTGATCATAAGAAAGATAGAATAGAAAGCAGATACAACAATCCAGTGCTAGATTCAGTCTTGAGCTTGAACTCATGCTCGTAACCAATGTGCTAGGCTTGTTTGTTTGAATTTAGGAAATGTTCAGCTTCATGACAAACTTCACATTATTTCTTTCAATGGTGTATTTTCTTAATTGGACCATATTGTATAGTTACCAAATTGTTCAAATTTCTGTCAGAGAAAAAAGGGGATGATATTGAATTGGTATCAAAATGGAGTGTGAGAGGTGATAGACTAATTAGATAGATTAATTTCTAATCAGCACTGTGCATGTTTCACAGAACTGCTGAGATAAAAATATATATACTAGGTTTGATTTCCTCTTCCCATTTAGCAAAGTGTAAAAATCAGGTGTTATCTAGCTGTTGCTATCTTTGGAAAAACACAGATTAAAAAATTAAAAAGCCAACATGCTAAAGAGATTCTTTATGGGTGATGTACGTAGTAAGCAAAACATGTATCTAGTTTTAGAGATTATTGCTTCTGGAAGTCACATCTTCAGGTGGCATAAACCTTTCTTACTATAGATTAGGACCCTGATCTTGAATAGTTTATACTTATAATCTTAGCTGGTTTTTCATTGTCTGGTCTTGGATATCTTATACCCATAACCTTAACTGGATTTCTTTGATGGTGGCCAAAATTAAATCTGGAGCCATTTATGGCCTGATAGGTATTTGCCATGATGTCGTTAATTTTTTTTTGAAATGTTTGGTTGTTTAGAGTCTGGAAATTGTCCAGTGCATAACTACATCTTTTAAAGATGAAGAGGAATTATGCTTTATAAATTAAAACATTGTACATGTGTGTTGGATGCATGTAATATTTCTTTTTAAGTTGATATGAAATAAGAGTACTGAATTGATTTTTTCCCCCTTTTCTTGTAGCTGAAGAAAATGGCCCCCGAATACTATGACCACCTGCCACAGTATAACTCCTGGGCAAAAGTGCTGTATGACTTTGTGATGGATGATACTATCAGCCCCTACTCACGTGTGAAAAGGCACCTGAAAGGAGAAGTGAAACAGGAATAAATTTATCAGTAAAAATGTTACCTTTCCAAACACATGGGATTTGATTTTGTAGTAGCTGGTACAAGGTATTACTTGACAAATATGTATTGGCTCAATATCTTGACCTAGGCTGAAATATGAATATTTATATTGGTACATTCTAGAACAAGATCTCTGAAGAATTGAAATATTGCCAGAAATGTAATACTCCTGTTTTGCATTATGGTTTACTGTTTAATTTTTCTGTGCTTATGCTAGTATTAATGTTACATAATGTGTTTAGTAGCTGTTCACTCAAAAACTAGTTTCTTTAAATTTTTTAAGTAAGGACAAAAATTTAAATATGCTGTCCAAAACAGTGACAATACTATGCCTTAGTTGTCCTTCTAGTAAAGTATTATTTTCTAAAATATCTAGTTAAAATAACAAAATGTTTTCAGTTTGAAGTAGTTTCCCAACATTTATGGCTACGATTTATTTAAACCTGAGGTAGGCGTTGGTGTATTTAGGTGCTTACAGTAATAAATAGTACTCATTTTCAGCTGGAAAATGCATACCAAATCCTTGAAGCATACTCTCCACAACTTACATGGAACCCCGGCTTTCAAGAGCACATTCTCTATATTAAATTAAAATCGGTATCTCTTCTCCAAGTCTGTTTGCCAGAACATTAAAGAGTAATGTCAAACAGAAGCTTCATCTAAGCTAGACTCAGTACAGATGGTGTTTTCTTAAGTGGGAGAAGTGGAGTGTTAGTTCTTGACAGGGAGTAGTAAGCTAGTAAATGTGTACAAGATCATCAATGAACTTATAAAATACCTGTATCCTAAAGGGGAGCACAAGTAAGCTGTTGTACCAAAACTCTGGCACTTAAAGGAAGTCATATTTTGACTTAATTGCACTAATATAAATGTGGCATACCATATTCTTAAAACATTGGGTAAAATAGAGGAGTGGGTTTTTGTGTCACAGCACACCTACTAGCCTTTTCACTTGTCTGCTTTTAAAAACTGGTCTTGATTTTCCTGTAAAGACTTTTTTTTTCCAGTTTCTCTTTGCATGTGGGAGTAACCTCAAATACTGGCCCTTAAAAGTTTTCTATTACATGTGATCTTGAAAGCAAAAAGTGTTCAAATAAAAGATAAGCACGCTGTGATACCAAAAGTTAAATATTTAACATAACCTTAACTGCAATTCAAATAATGTTCCCGTCCTCAACAATTGTCATGGACTCTTGTGAGTTCTATCCCAACTTGGACAATAAGGAAAACTAGAATGTCTTAATATGGTAGTCTATACTACAGCAACAGCGTAACAGATCTAAACATAGGGCCACAGGTAGATTGATTTAAACTAAGGCAACTTAAGTTGTTAAGAAAGACTCATTTTAAACTCTGACCATCATTCCAGAATTTTTAATATAAATGAACTAGCTGTAGCATTATACAAAAAAAAATTCAACAGCTCATAAGAGGATCAAAACTTAGTAGTACAAGTATGTGCTTTTGGTTTGGATTTAACATTTTTAAGCCCTACATATTAAGAAAAAATCCTGTATAGAGCATAACTGATGTTTATCATTGTGTAAATTAATGCTCATAGATGGCAGGTATCATGCTATTTCAAAGTTGATGTCCCTAAGAGTTTTCTCAACATACTACCAAACTTCTTTGAGTGAATATGGGGTTTTTTTGTTTCAAAAAATGTTTAGTATTTTCCTCATCACCCTTTTGATCTCCCATTTTGGTCACATGAGAAGTATCTCCACGTACATATGCTTAGTTGATATATCCGTCTGAATAGATGTGCCTGAAGAGTGCTTCTGAGTTGTACAATTCTTTCAGTGTTTTGAAAGAAATACAATAAAATGACTGTTTTGCTGGCTGTGTGATATACTTTATTTTTTCTGTAGGCTGTTTCAATCTCTTTATTAAAGGACAAAATATTCTAGAACATTCAGCAACTTCATGGTAGCATGTATCTAAGAGGTCGTTTAAAAATTAGGCCTAGCAATTTTTGTTTGATAAAGAGACTTGTGCTTATATGAGCTTTCCCAAGTTCTGTGCTCTTCATAAGAGGGCCTTCTGTTGGTGCCTGCACTGGCAAGGATACATGAAAAACCACCTCAGTGGTTACTCTGTCTTGTACTGTTTTTCCTACAGGAAGCTGTACTGACCCTCCTCCCCTTCTGCTGAGGAAGTAGATTTTTAAAACAGACTGCTGGAGATCTGCTAGTTGTGCAAAAGGGCTTTTAAATGGTATGCAGCATACAATAGACATATGGTCATGTAGAGGATGAAACAAACCTGTTTGTTCCTGCTTTAGAGACTGAGACACAAACCAGGACATTCACATTGCAATAAAAGATTCCACCTAAGAATTAGAAGGAACTTCCTAACAGTGGAATAGCCTGTCTTGAAAGGCAGTGGATACCTCTTCATTAGATGACTTTAAACAGTATTTACCGTATATTCCGGCATATAAGACGACTGGGCGTATAAGACGACCCCCAACTTTTCCAGTTAAAATATAGAGTTAAGACGACTCCCATGCATAAGACTACACCCGCGTATAAGACGACCCCTGACTTTTGAGAAGATTTTCTTGGGTTAAAAAGTAGTCTTATACGCCAGAATATACTGTAGTTGTATTCCTGCAGGGCAGCCCATGTAGTTCATTCCAATGCCATGATTGTATAAATTGTACTTTTTAAATTAGTCATGTTTAACTAGTTTACTTCATGTTTCATTGCAAGCTGTCTTGGGAGAAATGGGATTTAAGTATTAGCATCTTTCTTGCACCATTCTTCAATTTTTTAATTGACAGGTTATAATAGATTTAATACAGTAGTCATAAGAATATTGTCCCCTTCCAAAAAATCCTTTCAGACTCCTCTTTGCTGTATGTATATAGTCCTGCCGATTATACTGGATTACCCGAAGCTGCTAGGAAATGAAGCTAAAGCTTTCTGCATTTAATACTCACTCTCTTCCATTGAACCATGAACCACAGCATTACATTAATTGACCATTACATACACTATACATTAAAACTGATATTACGTTCAAGTTACCTAATCATCAACTATTCCCTGCCCATTGTATCCATTGGCCTTTTCCAATCTAATGTCTTTCACATGGGTTTGGACTATCATTCCTAGGGAGGGTGGTCAAAACCAAAATGCTGGACTAACAGTGTGCAGGTGAAAGGAGAAACAAGTACTTTGTGTAATTTCTCCATTACATAATATGGAACAATTTAAACATGGCTTACAGGCTGTTACATGAACTTTAATAAATATTTTATTCTTGTTTTAATTATGTGTCTCCCAGAAATGTATGGTGAAATAAGTTGCATGTTAAATTTGCACATTTAGTTGTACTTAATGTGTTGTATATGCTATGTACGTTTCTGTTTCAGAATACATTCCTATAGCTAAACTATCTGCAGACAGTATTTGTTGGCACTTTATCAAAAGAGCACTGTGCACAAAAGTCAGCTGAGGCCAATTTCCAATTCACTTTCATTTCTTCTTGGAGATCACCCTAAGGCTACTATTCTCCATAACTCCCACACATTTCAGTCGAAGCAATGCATCAGTAAAATTAGTTGTGCTTGTTTCCATGTTCTCCTCCTGGGTAATACAATGTGAGAGAACCTTCATTCTGCTCAATTATGACAAATGTGCAGAAAACTGCTAACCAAATACATGGTCAAAATTTAGACCTCAGTATTTAAACAGGTAAGGCATCTTAACATACGAGAGTCATTCAAACAGACATGAAAGCATTATGTATGGAAGTGATTTGGGGGTCTTAGTAGACCACAACCTGAGCATGAGTCAGCAGCTAAAAAAGACAACATGTTTCTAGGCTGCATCGATAGGAGTATAGTGTCTAGACTGAGAGAAGTCACAGTCCCACTTTTTTCTGTTTTGGTTACCTGGAACTTTGTCCAGTTCTAGGCATTACAAATCAAAAGGGTATTGACAGACCAGAGAAGGGTAACCAAAGGTTTGGACTCCACTTAAACTTTAGGAAGAAGTTCCTAACAGTAAGATCTGTTCAGCAGTGGATATCCTGTCTCAAGAGTGTGGTGGAGACCCCTTCTGTGGAAGTTTTCAAGCAGAGGGCTGAATGTCCACCTGTTGGGAGCGGTACTTCAACTGTAGGCAAATATATTGTTCTGTGTGCCATGAAGACTATAACAAAATACATGCGTGCATTTTCCATTATTTCTTGCCTTTTGTTGGCAAGGACTTCCCAATGTAAAGTGAAAAAATGTCCTGGTAGCAGGAATGACAATGTTGACTAGCTAGAGGCAAAAGGTGTGGTCCCAAGGCATTGGTTTTCTACCTCCCAATTCCAGGAAAAAGTGTCTTGGATGTTGTGAACGTTCAAGTCAAAGGTAGAATTCTGAAATAATTAAAGTAAAGCCATATGCTCCATACCGTTTTAGTGGATGAAAAATGTATATAATTTTGCAGAAAAGTTTCTTACTGGAAAGCACTCTTCACAAAATGACTCAGCATGCTGGTTGTTACAAAAACCAGCGAAAAATCATTTCTGGGAATGGACTCAGAAAATATCTGACTTAATCTTTGATATGTTGGTGGCTAACAAAGCTGGAAAGATAGCTGAATGCTTTGAATCATTTCCATATTTCATTAATGTCAATGGAAAAGACTAAAACACATGTTTAATACTTTCAAATTGTAGTTGAATTTGGCACATAATTTTGAGCAGACACTTATAATGCATATTCTGCTGCATGGGCCCGACTGCTTTAACTACATCAGTTGAGTTTACCACTTCAGTGGTAGGTTGCTGTTTCCATAGTAACCATTACTCCTATTGCCTGCTTGCTTCCTTATTCATGGCATCAAGGTTATGAAAAGCTTAACTGATGCTACTTTTTGTGTATTAAATATCCTGGTTTATTTACAAACTGGAAACGGAATTACAATGGGAGGATTTTGATATTAAAACTGTGTATACTTCCAGCACAGCTTATTAGGATCAACTGTCAAATGGCTGGCGAAAAAAGTCATTCCTTTTTGGAATAGAGTCCAGCAATGAAAGATCAGCAGTGAAGAAAATCCATCCTGCTTCACGATTAGCTGGTTGGAAAACAGACTGTCAGGAGAATTCTTCATAGGAAATTCCATGCCTCCCCTTTTTCTCATCCACTATCACCTGCTCAGTGACTGGCGCAGTTCTTCATACATTACTTGGTCCTAAGGATGCCAACAAAGAGAAGAAAACAGCCAAACTCATTCCATTAGGCAGCAATATTTGTACTTCGTTTTAGACAAAAATAAAAATAACACCCATTTGTCTAGTGGCAATAGTCTGGTTTGACTAGACCATTGCCACTTGTTTGGTATAGGTCTATGGAGAATCAAGGTAGGTAATTCCCTAAAACTCCGAATACTAAATAAAAGACAAACCAAGATGTTCCATTTTTCTGTGTGCCAACCAAACTTTTCCATTCCAACCCATAACAGGAAGGTAGGTGTGCTTGTAGGCACAGCAGTTTTATCAGATCAGACATATGCCATACTTGCCCAAGTAATAATTAGAGGATGTACTGTTCATAATGCTGTAACCAGCCTCTAGCCGTGAGTGAAGGCGGACAAGAAATAAAACTATTATTAAAGTGTTTCAAATTAACTACAGATACATAATACTGTTTCAAACTGAAGGAATTACAGGTTGTTCAAAAAAATTGCCACAGCAACCAACAGAAAAAAAACTTCCTGGTTTAAAAATGTTACTCCTGTTTAACTGTGTGGTACTTATTTTCAAAATAGTTGTTATGCTTCAGAAACTCTGTTTTTGTGGCTGTCACAAACTGCTGAATTGGTTGAGGCTTGAGATATTCATTAAAAAACTAGCAAAATGTGATGCAGGCTGTCCCACAAAAACAGTGTAATAAACCTTTTCCATGGTTTTATGATAGAACCAATTAGGACATGACATTTATAACCCAGGAACACAAATCGTGTTACTTAGTGTTATCAGCCTCCCCCTTCCTGTTTCCTGGTTTTAATAATGCCTCAGAAAATTGTACTTATTGAATGCTAAACACACTTAATCCCATTTTAAAAAATAGTCCTTAAAAATCTGATGGCATGTCTTGCCAATTTTAGCACCTTGTCAGTGTGATGCCCTCTCAATGTTTCAGATTTCAGTTCACATGATCACTTCCCATTAACCATATCAATCAGTCCAAAACATCTAAGGAGCAATCTAGTTTGGTTGAGAACATCTGCTACAGAACAGCTTCACTTTACAGAAAACTTAACTTTAGCAATATTGGACAATTCAATATACATTTCTTTCTACTCTGCTATTATATCGGTTTCAACCACTGAAAACATACCTTTCTTGATACAGATGATTTCACTTTTTTAAAAGCTTCTTCGAAGTTTTTTTTGGTAATCTTAATTTCTCCTGTGAAGAATACAGTATAACAGGTAAAGCTGATTTCAAATAATGTTCATTTTTTCTATAGTGATGGAAGAATCAGAATCAGGGCCAGGTGACTACTGCCATCTTAAAAATCTGACCCAGAAGTTCATTGCTAATTATATCTGATTATATCCTACCACTTAGCCACATTTTAGTAGGTAGTCATGAGGATTTTGGTGCATCATAATGAGGAAGATTAAAATCAGTGTTTTGGGAAAATTCACACAAGTTGGCAAGTTGTTTCCTAGGTCTGTTCTGTTTGGAGAAGAAAACTTGAACTTCATTTATTTTATCCATTATATGCATAGAATCAAATTACACAAATCATGAGAATAAATATCTGATCTGCAGAGGTTAATATGTCCATTTTCAGATATTTGCAGGTCTTACGTGATTAACAATAATTCCCTTTTGTATATTCAGCCACTGGTTATTCTGAGTGACAGAGCAGAAGGAATCCCTCTACAACAAAAAGTACTGTACTTCCATTTTGCCCTCTAATTGAATGTCTGCTACTTGCAGGCCTAATGCAGAAGCCTATGCTTTGTGTGTGGTGGTGGTGCTTGCACTGACTACAGTATTCGAGCACAACTCCAGTTAAAATGTAAGAAACAGGGCTTTTATGTCTAATGTATTCCACTGAAGTGTGCTCATTTCTTAAGGCTTGAAGTATGAACCTATTTCATTTTTAAAGAGGTGGAGAGAAAATCCCAAGACCAGAATTTGCCAAGTCTGGAACTTCTCATTGCATGAATCTCTGTCTTTCGCAGGAATGCTACATACTCCAAGAGGCTAAAGGCTCCAAGAGTCAGAACAATGACTAATGTTTATTTTCAAGTCTACTGATCTGATCTAACTACAGCATTCCTAGCTAAAGTGTCAGATTCTTCTACAGCTTGCCAGAAAAAAACATCTGAAAAGATGCATCAAATGAACATAACCAAGAAAATGTTAACTAAGAATATAGTTTATTTGTATTAGATTCCATTCATGCCTGCCAGACCAAAAGGTGAAGTCTGAATACAAGAGGCTAGATTTGAAGTTTGTATTTTATTTCTTTTATTTCTCAACTCTAATATCTAAAGAAGCAACATTAGCACCTAATGTATTTATTTGGTGGATTTAAGTAGAAGCTATTTAAAAATAAGACAAATATTAACCTGTTCTGCTTTCTGAATTATTTATAAAGCTCCAGGAGGAAAATAGTGCATATTAGACGTTCAACAAAAAACATCTAAGCGAGAATAATTCTATTTCAAAAATCCACTGAAGCAAAAGAAGGCATTTGTCTTGCTGAGATGCAAACAGGCTGATTTTATGATACTTCATGTAAATTTAGAAATTTGCTTTGAGTCACACTAATGATTTTTAAGTGGTTGCTTTGCTATTTTGGAAGCCTCTTTTCCAAACAGCCAGTTGCATTTTTGTAAGCTCTTCAGCCAGTGAGCAAGCAATGAATGACCTCTACTGATAATGATGTTCACCACATTTTTTCGTGAGATTATGAGTACTTTAGAGACAACAGGCATAAAAGACTTTGCCTTCTTCCTTTTAAGTGTTTTGAATATAAATTCAATACTTCGTTGCTGCTTCTTTTTAATAGAATTGGCAAAACACCAAAGCACTTTAAATAACCTTTTTAATGAGTTACTGCTGCTTACATTTTCAAAGTAAAAATTTCATACAAATTAATAGATCTGCTAACCTCACACATTGAAATACATTTGAATTAATGTGTGCAGCCAGGTCTTGTGCAAATACTGGAATAACATTTAAGATAATGTTGGGTTGCAGTTCTCTACTATGCATTTATTTACAAAGCTACCTACTGCAGAGTGCTAAATATTGTAAGGTGATGGTACCAGCAATGATATTGAAGCACATATTTTTATGTGTATATTGGCCACTGCACTCAAGTTCCATCAATGCAACGAAGGCATTGTGATTTATGGAACTCATTTCCCTGCTTGCAAACTATTTGTCTCCTCCTTACTTTACAGACCACTTCCTTGGCTAGAATCTGTTGCTTGCCTTCCTGCTAATCCTTGACTAAGTTTCAGACTATTAGATTATCATATACCTCAGGCTTAAATATATTTCTTGAATAATTTAGGTGTCCTGAGAAACTTCTGTCCACTTGATATGTAAGGAAGAAACATCGTGAACTGTGGGAATGGGAAGAGAGGCTATGAAAAGATACAAATCTTAATTCTCTAAACACTGGAGTTTTATGCAGAGACATGAACGTTAAAGGCCCACCCCCATCATTACAGAGAAAAACCAAGCAATGGAAAACCTCTTCCTGCTCCTCTGATTGACTCTGACCTATCTCTAGCTGCAGACTGTGTTTAATTTCCTTCTCTTTACCTTTCCTGTTTGTGGTGCTGAATGCTGCCATTTCCTCTTTCAGGGCACAAAGAGAAGCTTCTCGCACTAAAGCCGAAAGATCCGCCCCCCTACAAAAATGCAAAACAGAAAGACAGTCATTTTGGTATACAATTCTAACATGAAAAATGCAAAATACCTGCTGGCCAATATAAAGAGAGGAGCGGCATCAAAATGTCTCCCTACAAATGTTTAAAATCCATCTACAGATATTTAAAATCCTGTTCCTTAGGATGGGTGAACTGCGGACAATGACTATCATTCATTCTTATCTCACTTGTCCAACCCGCCACTCGTGAGACGCAAGGCAGCTTACAAAAGTTGAAACAAAGGCTGGCATCCTGTTTGCGTTTTGTGATGGTTTAAGTTGTACTTGCGTCATTGCAATGCATTTCTACAGTATGTAACAGGAATTCTGTAGCACTCCTTGGAAGCATACGCTTCGTAGACTTAAATCTACTTTCTCAGTAAAAGTCTATTTTTACAGTACTTGTAAAGACAGGAATTTTCTTTTGACTATACAGTAATGAACTCCTGCCCCAATTCACCTTATAACAAGCATAGACACCCCCACAATGAAATGAAAGAGACGTTTCCAGCTATTGAATTGAAGCTGAATGAATTTATAGGACATCTTCTGCATAGAGCTTGCATGCATCGCCAGAAGTCTCTTTAGAGGCCGGGCACAGCACATCCAGCTGCAGGGAAATAGCTGAACTTCTCCACCCTTGGATCCCTGACAACAAAGAAGTAGCCGTGTTGAGGTGTGTTGGTGTGGGCTCCTCTGCTCACAAGCTGTTTTGTTTTTGGAGTGATGGGAGATATAGCTATGGAGACCTGGCTAAGTGACAAGCATACATTTTGTGGTGCAGGATCCTGACCAAACGCTGATAAAAGCATACACAAAACGTGAATGAAATTACTATTAAAATGCAATTAAGCCATCTTGGCAATTAAAACAATTCAAAGTAAATCCATTAAAGACAAAAATGACAGTCAGCAAATAAAGCACACTATTAAAAGTCCTTACAATCAAGTCTTATAATGCTGTTATAACAGAACAATTTTCACCTTCCCATGGAAGGACAGTGAGAATCATCCTAGCCTTCCTGGGAATGGAATTTCAAAACTTAGGGAAGAGTCTTCTTCCCTGAATTCCCATCTCAAGTGCCTCTGAAGGTGGTTTGACTGAGAAGGCCTTCCTTTAAAAATCTTAAGAGGACAAACAGAGTCATAATGGACAATAGGATGATAACATGGGCCTGAGGTGTGCAGCGCTACATAGGTCATAAGCAGCATTTTGAATTGTGTCAGGGAAAGAATAGTCAATCAGTGGATCTGTTGCAACATGCAAGTGATACGTTTCTGTAACCAGTTCTAGTTAAGGATCTGGTCACACCTCTTTAGGCTAATTAAAATTAGGTATGCAGCATTACCTAAATGGGATGAAACTAAGCCATGCTTCACTATGGCTTTCTTTCAGCAAGAGCCTTATAATGGGCTTCTTCGGGTCTACTGAAACCATGGTACACTGACCACTCCTGTTACTTACTCAGCCAGCAGCCCAGCCTCTTTAATGTGCTAGCATGCCAATGGTCTAGAGCAGTGGTTCTCAAAGTGTGCTCAGGGGAGCCCTTGGGGCTCTGAAAAACATACTGAGGGGCTCCTTGGGTTTCTGCTATTATTATTATTATTATTATTATTATTATTATTATTATTATTATTATTAACAACATTATTTGTATTACAAAGGCTGGATGGCCATCTGTTGGGAGTGCTTTGATTATGCTTTTCCTGTGTGGCAGAAGGGGGTTGAACTGGATGCCCCCTGGGGTTTCTGCAATTATTATTATTATTATTATTATTATTATTATTATTATTATTATTATTATTATTATTATTAGAGTAGTAGTAGTAGTAGTAGTAGCATTACAAGCATTACAAGGGCTGGATGGCCATCTATTGGTGATACTTTCATTGTGTTTTTCCTGCATGGAAGAAGAGAGTAGAACTAGAGAGCCCCTGGGGTTTTCCACTGAAATACTGTTAAGTTTATGTTGGTCAAAAAGCTTGCCCATGCCTGATATATATACATTATATATAATATAATATACAATACTATAAACATTTTTGGGGCTCTACATGAAACCTTTGCTTCAAAAAGAGCTCTGCGGATGAAAAAGTTTGAGAACCCCTGGTCTAGAATATGTGTCATGGCCTCTCATATCACCAAGGATTGTGACCACATCCTTGGGCTGCTCAAACTGAAAGTTATCCATTAACACTGGGCAAACAGAGGCCAGACTTACATCTACTGGACCTATATCCACTATGACATCTAAATCAGAATAAATCTAATCAATTCTATCTGTGAACTGCCAGACAAATCTTCAACAGCAGGATGTCAAGTTGTCTGCATTCTTGTATGGGCATGAGATTAGTCTGAAGATGTAGCACCTTTAGTATTACTTACATATTTTGGGAACTGAAATTAGTACGAGTTAATTCTGTAACAATTTTACAGAAAAACAAAAATACAAAAGGTGCCTTATGCAGAAACAGACCACTGGTCTACTGAGCTCAATAACACCAGTCTTAGTTGGCAAGTTACTCTAGATGTACTCAGACAAGCTAGGGACCAATGCTGAGATCACTGAATTCTGGCCCTTTTCCTTTGTAGAAAAATCATGAAGTATATGCAGAACTTAATCCCCTTCCACACTTCCATTCCCTTTTGCTTTTGTGTCATGTCCTAACTGGATTGCAAACCTGAGAGCAGGGAACTGGTTTGTTGTTCTTTTACTTATAAAGTACAATTTACAATGATGCTAATAAATACATCAATGATGATGATGGTGGTGATGATGATGATGATGATGATAATAATAATAATAATAATAATAATAATGTTAAAATTAAAGAAGTTCTATGTGGAATATGAAAGATAGATCCTTTGCCCTTGTGAAAGGAAAATAAACTCAGCTGAATCCTATGGGCGAAATTAGTTTTTCTTACACTTCCTCTTACAAAGAGAGTTCAGTGATTCAGAAGATATTATTAAAGATGCAAATAGCCAATCATGCAAAGCAACATTTCAAGTTTCTATCCTGAAAAAACAAAACCATAGAAGAATAAGAATTAAAAACAAACAGCTCCTATGAAACCAATGAAATATATTGGAGGGGGGCGGGTACAACTCACGTATAACAATCACAACAAGGATTGCAAGCAATTTCTTCAAGATCCACATCAGTGTCAAGTGGGGGCCGGGTTCCATCCTATAGAAAGTGACAACAGAGAAGCAGTTTAAACCAGTGGTTTATCTTGGTCCCTCAAATACTTTGTATTTCAGTTCCCAGAGTCCTTGATCAATGTTAAACTGGCTGGGGAGTTGAAATCAAAAACATCGGGATAGCTAAAAGTAAAAAAAATGCTATAAAAATATGCTATTTTCCATCTAGCATTTTTCAAAGTAATTTTTATAAAATCATAGAGTAATAGAGTTGGAAGAGACCACATTGGCCATCCAGAACAGCCCCCTGCCACGCAGGAAAAGCACAAAGTACCCCTGACAGATGGCCATCTAGCTTCTGTTTAAAAACTTTCAAGGAAGGAGCTTCCAGCACACTCTGAGGTGGAGAGTTCCACTGCTGAACAGTTCTTACAGTCAGGATTGCAGACTGGATGGTAATCATTTGGGTGCTGCTTTTTTCCCCTTCTTGAAGATAAGGACAACATTTTTCCTCCTCCAGTCTGCTGGGACTTCTCCTGTTCTCCAAGAATTCTCAAAGATTATTGCCAGTGGTTCTGAAATTACCTCTTTTGGTTCCTTCAATACTTTTGGAAGTAGTGCATCTGGCCCTGGTGACTTGAATTCATTTAGAGCCTACAGGTATCCCTGGACTACTTCTTAAAGAAGTACTACTCTGGACTACTCTTAAAGAAAGGCAAGGAAGATCCCTCAGAAAAAGATTGCCAAGAAGTTACCCTAATAGCATCACTTTAGGTGAGATTTTTGGTGAAACATTACCTATGCTTTTAAAGTTTCTCTATAGCTTTTTCACAATTATTATATTTTAGGGTGATGTTCTCATCCCATAATGTTTGCTTCATATCTATATCAACTTTTTAGCAACTATTAAATACAAAATGACTTTCAACATAATTAGATAAGGTTGCTAGAAAAAGACAATATTATGCAAATTAGAAATACTAATAAATATCCATTTAGAGAAAGATAAATCACTAGCTTAACGAATCCTTATGGATTCAAAAATAATCAAAAGTAGGTCAGGAGACACCATCACATAGAGCTTCTTGGTGCAATCCCCACTAAGATCCTAACGTGTGTTTTCAGTCCACGAGTCAGGTAAAGACATGGTGTATACAGGTTACAGAGCACTGCATTACAAGGTTTACTCAACTGGTGCTTGAACCAACTGATTAATAATACTCCACTTAGGCAGAAAGGGAGATGTTGACAAGCTGGAATGTGTCGAGAGAAGGGTGACTAAAATGATCAAGGGTCTGGAGAACAAGCCCTATGAGGAGCGGCTTAAAGAGCTGGGCATGTTTAGCCTACAGAAGAGAAGGCTGAGAGGAGACATGATGAGGGCCATGGATAAATATGTGAGGGGAAGTCATAGGGAGGAGGGAGCAGGCTTGTTTTCTGGACACAGAACGATGGCTTCAAACTACATGAAAGGAGATTCCACCTGAACGTTAAGAAGAATCTCCTAACTGTGGAAGCTGTTTATTTACAGTATTTCTATACCGCTTTTCTCACTCCTAGGGGGACTGTTCAGCAGTGGAACTCTCTGCACCAGAGTGTGGTGGAGGCTCCTTCTTTGTAGGCTTTCAAAATGGATGGCCATCTATCAGGGGTGCCTTGAATGCGATTTTCCTGCTTCTTGGCAGGGGGTTGGACTGGATGGCCTACGAGGTCTCTTCCAACTCTATGATTCTATGACTTATATCAAGACAAGTTTCAAGATTTGACCTTGTTTCCTGCCAACACTCCATGCCTTTGTGGAAGATCTGACTAATGCACTGACTGTATGATCTGTCACCTGAAGTTCCCAAGATTTTGCATGCTGTAGCAGGAAAACTCCCTTATTTAATTAGTGGAGGGACAGCAATTGAATCAAAGGCATGTCCCAACAATACTTGTGTCATGTAACTCCTCAAAGCTGCAAATGTTTATCCAAATCAAACAAATGTTTAATAAATTATTGTAGTTGTAAAACAAGGTAATAAAATGTGGACGGTGCCTATTAAAAGCCAGTATAAATTAGCTTTGTAATGCTGTATTTTGGAAGGGAGGCAGAAAAATATGGGATGAGAACAACACCCTAAAATATAATAATTGTGAAAGAGCTATAGAGAAACTTTAAAAGCAGCAAAAGTTTCACCTAAAGTGACCCTATCAGGGAAACTTCTTGGCAATATTTTTCTGAAGGATCTTCCTTGCCTTTCTTTAAGAGAATGTCACTTAACCAAGGCCTCCTGGTCTCCTGAGTCATAGACTAACACAAAAGCCACCACAACATATGGAGTCTCCCTAAAGGTATCAGATTCAGTCTGATCTTGGAAATGAAGGAGGATCATCTCTGGATGGGATAACACAAATAAATATAAGGCTCTGTAGGTCAAAACCACCTCTGGATATTTTCTGCCTAAAAAAACCCCAATAAAGTTTATGAGGAATACAAGGCACCTTGAAGATGCACACATACATGTTCATAGAATTGTGAATATCTTAAAATATCTTGGTTTAGAATTATTATTATGTAAGCCCACAAGCCACCATCACTCAGTGAAGTTGCTGATCTTTATAGACTCTTTTGGTGTCATGCCCTACCATGGTGTCATGCCCTACCATGCCCCTATATTATGTTTTCTGTCCATGAGTCAGGCAGGGACATACTGTATACAGATTATAGAGCACTCCATTACAAGTCATATTCCTTGAGTCTCAAGACGAGGAATTTGATCTTACTTCTAACATGGTAGGTCAAAAGGTAAAGGTTTTCCCCTGACATTAAGTCCAGTCATGTCCGACTCTGGGGTTGGTGCTAATCTCAATTTCGAAGCCAAAGAGCCAGCATTGTCCAAAGACACCTCCAAGGTAATGTGGTCAGCATGACTGCATGGAACACCGTTCCCTTCCTACAGAAGCGGTACCTATTAATCTATTCATATTTGCATGTTTCCGAACTGCTAGGTTGGCAGAAGCTGGGGCTAACAATGGGAGCTCACTCCGCTCTCTGGATTTGAACTGGCAACTTTTTGGTCAGCAAATTCAGCGGTTTAATCCAATGCGCCACCGGGGACTTTTACATGCCTGATTATATGTTTAGTCTTTAGGTTTTAAATTGTATTGTTTTTAGCACTTATTTGCACCTTTGAGTCTCTATTAAAAGAGATAAGTGGCATATAAATCATCATCCTCTACATGTAAGATCAAGTGTCAGCAAGGCTTCAAATTTGCATTCACCAGTTTTTACTCTTCCTACCATGTGGTAGGAAAGGTAAAAAGTGGTGAATGCAAATTTGAAGTCTTGCTGAGACTTGATCTTACATGTAGAGGATGATGATTTATACGCCATTTTCATCATATTTTTGCTAGTTTGAGAGTGAAAGATTACAGCAATTCGCAGCAAACATAGAAAAAATTCTCACTATAAAGAAGTTAGAAAGCAATTAAAATCTTAATTAAAAGTCACAAACCGTTAAAAGGAATGAACAAAAATGAAACAAAAACATTATACAAGGCCCATTTTCCCACAAACTCAGTTCTCAAAGGTCTACTGATCACCAGGTTAAATGGTTAGAGTGTTCAACTATGGCTCTGTAAGCTGGCTTGAAGGCAGAAAAGAACAACAAATTCAGCTGCAGAGACAGTGGGAGTTACAATTCTACAAGGCGGAGTGCTGCACGATTCCCATACGCTTATCTAGAGAGGAGATGCATCTAAGACATTCACGTCCAGGCTGGTTACAGATGAACAACTGAGAACAGTATTCAAAGGAGGTGATAAAATCCAGTTTTCTGGCCAACCAGGACTTATAAGATGGTTAAGCAAATAACTTTTTTGTACTCTATCATTCTTGTGTGGATTTTACATCACTTTTGAATGAGACAAAGAACTATCATTTTGTATTTCTTCTTCAAGACGAAAATGCATTTATACCTGAGCGATACATGTCTGAAACCCAAAATCACAAGAAAAACATCACTTTGTAATTAATTCCTCTTTGATCCTGCAGCTTAGCCAAAATATTCCCAAAGGAGATGGAATAGCAATTATTAGATGAAAAAATTGGAAGGAAACCTGAGTATATGATCCCCCCCCCCACAACAACAACAACAACAACAACAAAACCTTACTTTAGTGATTGTCTTTAAAATGGCAACGCGATCCATAGGTGGTGGCAAACCCACATAGAGTGTTTTATCCAATCTTCCTGGGCGCAAAATAGCTGGATCAATAATATCTATTGGAAAATGGTATTATTAAGACTTTGAATACAAAACCGAAATCATAAAACAAAATATATTCAGAAGATATTCTATAGGGAGGTTTACAAACAAATAGTTAACTGTTGAAAGTAAAGCATAGCACCTCCAGCAACAGGAATATCATAGTTTACCAAATATGTATAGATCTTATACATCAAGGACATTATCTAAGTAGCTTTATCCTTCACTGCTAAATTGCAGATGTATGCACATAATATTAGAGAATGACATGCAGTATAATCTTAGAATTAGAATATTTCATGTATTCTAATTTCCCTCTTTTTTCCTGGCACGACTGGAAGGAGATGAGAAACATCAGTCTGATATCAAAACTCTAAACTGTGGTTAATCTAAAGCAGGGGTCCACAAACTTTTTAAACAGAGGGCCAGGTCACAGTTCCTCAAACTGTTGGAGGGCCAGATTATAATTTGAAAAAAAACATGAATTAATTCCTATGCATACCACATAACTTATTTGTAGTGCAAAAATCACTTAAAAACAACACAACAATTAAAATGAAGAACAATTTAACAAATATAAACTTATTAGTATCTCAATGGGAAGTATGGGCCTGCTTTTGGCTCATGAGATAGGATTGTTGTCGTTGTTGTGTGCTTTCAAGTCGTTTCAGACTTAGGTTAACCCTGAGCGAGGGCCAGATAAATGACCTTGGAGGGCCGCATCCGGCCCCCGGGCCTTAGTTTGAGGACCCCTGATCTAAAGTAAGGGTTGTCAAGTAAAGGTTGTCAATAGGTTTTACAGTAAGAATTAAGGTTAGTCAATTTGGCAGAATTCCTCAAGAAACCAAGAAAAGATAAACTTTTGAATCCTAAACTCAATAAGGCTTGTTCTTGTTTCTTAACAAATAATTCCTATTTGAACTTGAGTCAACAGTGTCGGTGGTGGCCGGGAGGACCTTTGCACAGTTAAAGCTTGTGTGCCAGTTGCAACCGTACCCTGAAAAGTCTGACTTGGCCATGGTGGCCCATGACTTAGTTACCTCCAGACTGAACTACTGCAACACACTCTATGTGGGACCGCCTTTGAAGATGGCCTGGAAATTGCAATTGGTACAAAGGTCAGCGGCCAGACTGCTAACTGGAGTGAATTATAGGGGGAGAACAACCCACCTGTTAAAACAGCTCCACTGGCTGCCAATAAGTTTCCAGTCCCAATTCAAGGTGCAGATTATTACCTACAAAGCCCTAAACAGTTTGAGTCCAGCCTATCTTCGCGATCACATCTTTCCCTACAAACCTGCGTGAGCTGGGGAGGTCCTTCTCTCGCTCCCACCTCTGTCACAAGCGTGGTTGATGGGGATGAGACAGAGGACCTTCTCGGTGGAGGCCCCCCAGCTCTGGAACTCTCTCTCGAAGGGAAATTAGTTTAGAGCCCACCCTTTCCACTTCCTGTAAAGACCTAAAAACATGGTTGTTCCAATGTGCCTTTGATTAATCTGTTCACTAAAAGAATTGGCCCTCCTAACAATAACTTCATTCTTGACTCTTGCACTTTACTATTGTCCCTGCCCTGGAGTTGTACTGTCCAAATCTAACTTGGCCCTTCCAGCCTTATGTTTTCACTTTGCCATCAGCCCTGTCCTGACAGTTGTATTGCACAAGCCTTTTCCTCACCCCTTAGCTCGGAAATGTCCATTATGCTTGGTTACTGGTTGTTGCATGATGAATTATGTTTAATTATGTTTTTATGATGTTGTATATGTATTTTTATTGTGTTATATTTTAACTCTGTCTGACTGGGCTTGGTCCTCATGTAACCCACCCCAAGTCCCTTCCAGGAGATAGTGGCGGGATACAAAAATAAAGTTATTATTATATGTTATTAACTGGTGCACGCATTTTATAATAAATATGTTTGCAACATTTTCTAGCACAGTATCATGGGTACCTCCAAAAAGGGCTGAAAGGATAAATGTTACGCAGCTAAACAGTGGTTAGCCTTGCCTTTTCATTGGGCCAGATTGAGGTAACCTCAAAGCTTATATTTAGTTTCTGCCTTGCTAGTATTCCCATATTCTTTCATTAATGCCACAATAAGAGAAGAAGTAGGCTAAACATGCACAAACATATGGGCATACCTAACACTGAGTAATGTCACAAATCCTGAGCCATTTTCTTCTGTCCATAAGCCTTTTGCGATATAATAAAGATTAAACTTGGGACCTACAGCATAAACAATTTTGTCTTCTATTACTCTGTCTCAATCTTGGTTTATCGAAATTCCAGCTGACAAGCGTGTATTTCAGAATGTCCTGCATGTCTCTTGTCCACAAGTACACCTAGCAACTTTCAGTGACATGCTTGGCTTCCTTGGAGCACGGAGCAGACCTGAACAAGAATGCATTCAGAAGCCAATTCCAAGAACAATAACTCTTTCAAAAATCATTCTCAATTTTGAAATTGCATGGTTGACGCCTTTCAAGATGATTTAATCATGAAGAACAAGAACCAAGAAAATGTGCACGTCATGAAGAAGAGACGCAGATCTGCATTTGTAAAAGAGAAGACCTGATATTTATATAATACTAGCTTGGGTACCTGGTGTTGCCCAGGTTATTTGAAAAAGTCATTTTTTTAATTGTACAAAATGCCTAAGGTTGTGGGTGAACTACAACTCACATCATGCCAGATTAACCCTGAGAAACTCCATCAGTACTTGGAGAGAGCAAGGAACCCTGGGATATGGAGCTCACTGTAACCTCAATGTTAGTAGAGGGAGGGCCACTAGTGTTTCCTGAGCACTGGGAGCTAGAGCTGTTTGTGGAAACGGGATGCTGTCTGTGTAAATGAACACCCTTGACACATAAACATTTTCACTTTTATTATATGTATATAGATTAGCTATGGAAGTATTACATTAGGGGATTTAATATTCTAATGTGGGGATATAACATTTAATATTTTTCTTCAAATATGTTCAATTGGTATTCAATAATCAAACAGATATAGTATGTACCTATATGTAACAAAGCTTGCTATATGTATATTCTGCCTCTCCTCCAAGGTTGCATATACAAATCTCTTCTCCCCTATTTTATCCTCACAACAAACTTCTGAGCTATAATGACTGTCCCAAGATCACCCAAGGAGTTTCAAGGCTCAGTGGGAACTGAATCCCTCAAATCCGACACTCTGTTCACTCCTGGAGGTGTGGATGGAATCTGTCTACTTTAGCAAAAGTGTATAATGTTCGTTCTTATTATTTATTTATCGCATTTACATTCTGCCCTTCTCACCCCAAAGGGGACTCAGGGCGGATCATAGAACACATATATGGCAAACATTCAATGCAGATTATACAGTGACAAGACAGACAAGAGATAGAGGTATATATGTAGGCTGTTTCCCACCCCCTAAATCCACACACACAACACTCACAAGCGCACTATGAGTATGTAGGAAAAAGAAAAGCCTCCTCCCTTGTTTCCTGATGATTGACATATGTCAAGACATCCACGTGACAAATTGGGAATTAAACACTTAGTTTAAAATATTATTTTTTATTATTATTTCCCTTTCCTTTGGAGGTTTGTTTTTCTTTTATTTATTTTTTTATGCTGAAGCTCTTTCTGAGTCTTGGGTAACATTGACTATTGTTGATACTGTTATTATTCCGATTGCCACTTGAGTTGGGAAACAATCCTTTGTCAACTCCCCCAGGCTTCCAAATGTCAAAAGTAAGTCTTCCAGCTGGTTCAGTTGTATTATCCCTGCAATTATCTCTGTGGAGTGTTGTGTAGTTTCCAGGCTGTATAGCCATGTTCTAGCAGCCATACAGCCCGGAAACCACACAACGCACCAGTGATTCCGGCCGTGAAAGCCTTCAAACAATACAATTCTCTCTGTGTTGCAAGAATATTAAAGGGACAGGTAACATCCCCACCTCCCACGTATATTAGCTCCACTCCCTGCCTGTAACCACTTCCTTGCTCGCTTGACTCAGATCTCTGCTTGTCAAACTCACTCCCACTGAAGACGCAGGTTCACAGCTTGGGAGTGATCCTGGATTCATCACTGAGCCTGGAACCCCAAGTCTCGGCGGTGGCTGGGGAGCTTTTGCACAGCTAAAGCTTGTGCGCCAGCTGCGCCCGTACCTTGGGAACTCTGATCTGGCCACAGTGGTCCATGCTCTGGTTACATCCCGAATAGATTACTGCAACGCACTCTACGTGAGGCTGCCTTTGAAGACTGTTCGGAAACTTCAATTAGTCCAGCGGATGGCAGCCAGACTGCTCACCGGAGCGCCATAGAGGGAGCACACAACTCCTCTGTTATGTCAACACCACTGGCTGTTGGTCCATTTCTGAGCACAATTCGAAGTGCTGGTCTTGGCCAGCATATTATGATAGGCAAACCAAAAAGGTGGAAGATCTCCAAGCCTGGAGGCAGTTTTGATACGATTTGAAAAACTCAACATCACGCCTTTCACATTTCTGCTAATAAAATACACCATTTATCTCTATTTCTATACTGACATAATCTCACTAGTCGCATCCTTTATTATGGGCAAACATATGAGCATACAACAGAGCAACAGCTATGTGATGCTTCTAAGACTAGCTTTAATTTCTTAATTGTTCTTACCTGGCCTGTTTGTAGCTGCCATAATAAAAACCTGACGACGAGATTCTAGCCCATCCATCTCTGTTAGCAACTGGTTCACTACCCGGACGCTGGCACCTGACTGAAATAATGAGAATACAGTGAAATCGTAAAGACAACATAAACTGATTATGCCATCAACAATCTGGAGGGAGAAGGCTGCTGTTCTTCATAGCCTTCTTCCCTCTGGATGATGCAATATTATTTCTTGGCTCAATTGCAACACAAGTTAAACTAGTTTTAAACTATCATCCCACTCAAAAAAGATTAACTCTAAGAATAACAAGACCATCACATCTTAATAAAACAACAACTCTCTCTCTCTCTCTCTCTCTCTCTCTATATATATATATATATATATATGAATGTTAGAATGTTGAGGAAAAAAAGACTATCACAACTTTTTTAAGGATGAAAAGAATATAAAGCAAAAACAGATATAAACCATATTTCATCCCATTTCAGGTTATAATTCTATATCAAGAACTAATTCATGGAAAAGATGCCAGGAATTAGCTGATATTGTAACACCTGAGTGCATGGAAAGGTGCCAACCTTATCTGGCCCATCTTTAGATAAATAAAAAAGCCTTCCAGTTTAGAGAGGAAGTGGGCTCCTAAACCTAATTTGCTGGGGTCATAAAGGGATGGGTGGGGCAGGAAATGCTGCCTCAACTGTCCTTGAGAGATTATCCTGCCTAGGCCCAGAAGCAGATGAAAGGGCCTACCTTGATCCCAACTGCCATTGCCCTAGTCTCAGAAAGAGAGAAGAAGAGGAAGTATCCACTGAATTTAAATCCCTCCTATTTTGAAAGCAAATACAACTGAGATAACCCATTCATTAATATTCCTCCTATCTCAGCCAAGTGACTGAAGGAAATATTTGTAGGCTCACCTCATGGTCGGATCTCCGAGGACACAAAGCATCAACTTCATCGAAGAAAATGACGCAAGGTGCTGAATTCCTTGCACGCTGGAAAACCTGACGTACGGCCCGTTCACTTTCCCCAACATACTGAAATAGGAATTTTACACAACATGACTTTTTATGGAATCTCTGGTTTTACAGATTAACAAAACAAAGCTGGATGATTGGACATGTTTTATTCAAAGCACTGCTTCAGAACTTTTGAATACATTCTAACATAATCAGATAGCAGTAAAACCAGAACTCACCATATTCAATAGTTCAGGGCCTTTCACAGAAATGAAGTTCAGTCCAGACTCATTTGCGACAGCCTACCAAGAAAACATGAAGATGTGACTGATTTAATATACTATGATATTTTAAAAGTGTATTTCCAGCCACAAAGCTCCTCCCAATAACAAAAAATAACATGATAGAAATATACAAACAAATCAAAGAGAGGAATTCAAGAAAGTACCTTGACTACTGGTCTAGCTTGCTTCTGTATTACAGACACTGATGGAGACTGACTTTCCAGGATTTCTGTTAGCAGTCTTTCCTAATCCTATACAGAAGCTGAACTGGAACCTTTTGTACACAAAGCATGTGTTCTCCCATAGAATTGCAAACCTAGATAGCTCTTGACTGCAACTAAAATCACTAAGCAGCAAAATTTAAAGTGACCAGCAACCAAACCAGGACAAGGAGGAAAAGACAGAGATATCACACAACTTTCATCTTTTTGAGGATGCAAGTGCTGATACTTCATCACCTCAAACTCCAACTGTGATCAATATAATAGATTTTCAGAGTAAGGTTAGTGATGGAAAACAATGTACATAACGTTCAATTCCAATCTCAAGACAAAAAAAATGAGAAAACCATAGATTCTTGAACTAGGGACTTTAAAAACACTGCACTTCTCTAAGTTGAAATTCCTTGAATTTTAGAATAAAATTCAACACTGGAAATCACTGTGTAGACATGTGCCAGTATCCCACAATAAAAGGCCTGCAAGCAAAGCAATCCCGAGAGTGACCTGGCAGAGATATTTGTCTTGTGTTTGTTTTACCTTTTCCTTCTGGGGCAATTTTAGTCCCAACCTGAATAATCTATACATAAGTGGTGACTGACCAATTCAATTTATTTTTAAAAGCTGGGATTAAAAGTGGATTTAGTGTGGAATATCCAGCAGGAAATTATATCCTGTCAAAGAAACTACAAGTGTTACCAGTCTGTACCATGGACGTGGGATAAATAATATTGTCTATCTTGCTTTAGGGTCAAGGTAGCTCTATAATTGACCTTAAATTCATGGAACATAACTCCTATTTAATCACCAGCATTTTTGAACATCAGGTCCAGTATCTTGTTACCCACAGTGGTCAATTAGACCTCTAGGAAGACCACAAACAAGATAAGAAGAACACAGCTATCTCCTGCTATGGCTCCCCTGCACTGGGTGTTCATATGGCTACAACTAGTGCATAGAACAGTACTATAATAACTCAGAGATGTTACCTTTTCGAGACAATGAATCCTGGAATATTTCTGCAAATTTAGCTATTAGTAATAGTCAGGGGATCCTGAGAGCTGCAGCCCACAAACAAATGTTTTCAAGCCCCGAGCATCACAAATGATAGCTGACAATAAAATATCCAGTTTTTTTTCCTTTTAAAATCAGGATTAATCATAGCATGGTAAAAATATGATAGCTGGGACCCAGTGCTGGTAACGCTACGCTGGTTCTCTCAGAATGAGAGAAGGGAACACGTGCACGAGACAGCACACTGAGAGATGCAGCTGTGGCAGGATAGCAGTGAAATAACGTAACGCAGGTGGGACAGTGAAGTAATCTAATAGTTACTGGATTTGATTGATTTTTCACCACTGCTTGTATTTCTCCCCTCTTTTTTATCCTTCTTACAGTTTTGAACGTGTTTGCATAGGATCTCCGGATAGGCTACATCAGTATGCTTGGCTGATTCCTCTTCCCCTTTCTAGCGAACTAACTTGCCGACTCTGTTGCAGCTGAATCTCTCATTCTGTGCGATTCCCTTCTCTAATTCTGAGCCGCGCTGCGCAACCAGCGTAGCGCTACCAGCACTGGGTCCCAGCTATCATACCTTTACCCATAACATATTGTAGTTTACATTTCTTCCCACTCAATGCTGTGAGGGATACATCTTTCTGTTGGCCTTGCTATTAATGTTCAGAATCGTACTCCAGTATATTAAGTCAAAAGGATAAAACCCCCTTTTTTTATTCTGCAAGTTCCATATACCCATCATGATAATATAGGTAATGATAAATCTTCCCATTGTTACATTTACAAGCTCCTTCTAGAGCCATCTAAATTAATGGCTATCACACAACTTCACATTATTTGTGGCACATGGAGACAACCAAACAAACATGAACTATACAATAGCATACAATGAACATCAAATCATAAGGTTAACAAAGATAAAGTGAGAACTTGCACAAATTATGTTTAGAATCCTTAGCTAGTCAGTAGCAAAATAGAGCAAGGCAGGCAGCTGCTCATTACCTTAGCAAGCAGTGTTTTGCCACAACCTGGAGGGCCAGCAAGGAGTATTCCAGCTGGAGCAGTGAGGCCAAGAGCTTGGAACTGTTCAGGATTCCTAACTGGTGCCTGAAACAGAACAGGTGCCTTGTGGGTAAAACTAGAAAAAAACCTCATTTTTGGCGATTGTTAATACATTTTTGATAGAGATTAAGGATTTTGAAAGTGGCATGACAGAGATCCCAAAATTAAAACAAATCCAAAATTAAACTTCCAAGAAGCTTCCAAAAGAAGTAAGAAATAAGTTGTTATTCAGCACTTTATCACTCAAAGAATTACTGCCCAGTCAGCCTGACATCAATACCAGGAAATATTCTGGATCTAATCATTATGAAAGCAGTCTGCAATCACTTAGAGAAGAAGGTTGTGATTGCTAAAAGTCAACATGTTACTTCATCACACTACCAGTGGTTCTCAACTTGTGGGTCCCCAGATGTTTTTGCCTTCAACTCCCAGAAATCCTAACAGCTGGTAAACTGGCTAGGATTTCTGGGGCTTGTAGGCCAAAACACCTGGAGACCCACAGGTTGATAACCACTGTGTTAGGCAATGCTTCTGTTAGGTGGATTTGTAATTGGTTAAGCAACCAATGTAGTCCTGGAACACCTTTTTACCCAACACCACACAATGTTTAGATAATCCAATAAGTAAAATTTATGAATTTATGAATAAATATAAAAAGAAAAATGCAAGTTAAAAAAGAAGCAACAAAAGTAAAAAAAGTAATTCCCAATGAGATCAAGAGCTCATCAGTTTTTGAACTAAGTCATCAAAAAGCAATCCACAGATACTTGAGTTAACACAAAGCAAAAAGAATCCTCAAGCAGAATATTGTTCAAAACTTATATCCCTAAATATGAAAACTGGAACATAAGAAAGGCAAAAACCCCAAGAACATTAAGTCATAAACAGGATATATTTAGCCTGCAGAAGAGAACGCTGATAGGAAATATGATGGCCATGTATAAATATGTGAAAGAATGTCATAAGGAAGAGGGAGCAGGCTTGTTTTCTGCTGCCCTGGAAACTAGGACTCGGAGCAATGGGTTCCAATTACAGGAAAGTAGACACTACCTGAACATTAGGTGGAACTTATGTTTAATTGTGGTTTTAATTTTGTAATTTGTTATGTAATGCCTTTGGAATGGGGCCCATTGTAAGCCGTCCTGAGTCCCCCTTCGCGGGTTGAGAAGGACGGGATAGAAATTCGAGAAATAAATAAAATAATAAATAAACCTTCTGACTGTAAGAGCTGTTCAGCAGTGGAACTCTCTGCCTCAAAGTGTGATGGAAGCACCTTCTTTGGGGGCTTTTAAACAGAGACTGGATGGCCATCTGTCGGGGGTATTTTGATTGTGCTTTTCCTGCATGCCAGGGGGTTGGACGAGATGGCCCATGCAGTCTCTTCCAATTCTATAATACTAACAGAAAAACCTAAATAAACTTAATGATACTTGCATGTGTGGTAATAACTTGAAAGTAAGTATGGAGTAAGACTGTCACGGAAAAGGTCATTGAGAAGGTAAGAGATCTTTAAAAAGCAACCGCTCATTGTCTGCTTTGTCAGGGTCCCCAAAAAGACACTGGGGTCCATCCCGACCCCTGGATTCTGCAGCCTCCAGATTCTGAATTATAATCTGAGGCATGTACTTTTAAAAAGACTGCTGCGCTTATCTGCTCTTCCTGCCTCCATGCTTCAGTTAATCAAAAACACTCTGGACCTGTTTTTCTCTGCCAGGAGCCTCTGGCACCAAATGTTTATTCTTGTTGCAAACTTAACTACAGTTACTTACAGAGAGGCGATCATGACGGAAGAGAGAGATCATGGACATGGTCTCCACTTTTTATAGCTAACACTCCTTTCCTTATCTTTTGATGACACCTCTGGAGTTTTTGGTTTTCCTGCTGACCAGATATTTTGTTCTGGGTTCGGCCCCTCCATATCCTGAGTAATTTTAACCCCTCAGTAACTCATGCTATCTGGTACATGTCTTTGGAATGGTTTTCCTGGTCTATAATATGCCTTTGGGTCTTGAAGCACAACTTAGTCAACATGAAGGAGAGAATATACTCACGTGCTGTTTGATTGCAGGAATAAATACAGGAAGAAGAGAAGACTGAGATTTTTTGGGTTCTTTTAGGGAGGGGGTGTAATAACATTACCTATGTAAACTGTTGTAAAACTCACTCAAGAGTAACACCAAACCTTGAAGCCTTGACTGCAAGTTCTAAAGCAATAAGTTCAAATAACATCTACATCTGTAATCTCTGCTGAGGCCATTCTGCCCATGTATTTGCTTATTGATTGAAAGCATTTAACACCACTTTTCAGACAATCACAGAACAGTCTACGTGAGAAAACCGTTTCTACCCATGAGGTAAGGAAGCAACAGGCAAACAAGCACCCAAGTACCAACTCTTAAAAGTTACATATTCATTATATTTAAGACTACCTATAATAGGAACAATTCAGGGAGAGGAGGAGCGGGAGGAGCTGTTCTTTCAAGCACAGCTAATGGAAAGGCTCTGTACCTGACCTTCTTCTCCAAAGCATTACCTCTGGTGGTATCCACAAAACATTCTTGAAATTAATGCAATATATTTAGATATAATTCAAAGATCACCCTATGCACCACTGGATCTTAGGGAGCTTCTATAAAATATTTCCCAACCAATTAACACAAGATCCAAACACTCAAAAACTGAGAGTAATGCATTGAAAGAGGAAGACGTTTCTATACATCACAGCAAACATTTTCCACAACTAAGAACTATTTAATAAGCAAACTCTTCAGGAAGCACAGAGCACTTTGCCCTCCATCTCTGAAGCCAAGAAAGAACAGTGGATAAAGCTAACAGAGAGTTTCATATATGCTGATTATCGTGCCAACAACGCCCATGCAGAGAGCTTTGAAATGGTTGAACAGTAGCTGCCTGAAGCTTTAGGTGCTCTTACTACCTATTACAGGGGAAACTAGCTGATTCCTAATCCATCTAAAACACAGACATTTGCTTTTCATCTTAAGAACAGACAAGCATCTCGAGCTCTGAGGATTCCCTGGGAAGGAATCCCACTTGAACATTGCAGCAATACCTAGGTGTTACCCTGGACCGTGCTATGACGTACACTGCTTGAATATCAAGCAAAAACAGTATCATACGAAAGCTGACTGGCCCAACCTGGGGATCACAACCAGATACGGTGAAGACATCTGCCCTTGTGTTTTGCTACTCTGCTGCTGAGTACGCATGCCTAATGTAGAATATATCTCACCACGCTAAAACGGTGGATGTGGCTCTTAATGAGACATGCTGCATTACCACAGGATGTCTACGCTCCACACCACTGGAGAAATTATACTTTTTAGCCGGTACTGGACCACCTCACATTTATCAGGAAGTAGCAAGCAGTAATGAAAAGACCAAGGCAGTGAAATCTCCATCCCGTTTGGATATCAGCCAGCACGCCAATGCTTTAAATCAAGAAATAGTTTTCTAAGATCGACAGAGATACTCGCAGGAACACCTCACCAAGCGAGAGTCCAAAAGTGGCAGGCTCAAACCCAGCACCTCAATCCGTGGGTGATACCAGATGAGAGTCCACACAGAAGACTGGGCAACTGGGAGGCGTTAAACTGACTGTGCTCTGGCACCACGAGATACAGAGCCAACCATAAGAAATGGGACCACAAAGTGGAGTCCATGACATGCGAATGTGGAGAAGAGCAAACCACAGACCACCTATTACAATGCAGTCTGAGTCCTGCCACATGCACAATGGAAGACCTTCTTATAGCAACACCAGAGGCACTCCGAGTAGTCAAGTACTAGTCAAAAGATATTTAGTATAATGCCAAGTTTTTTAAACTTTGTGTTTTTTAAATACATTACAACTGTACCCTTGGTTCACTTCTGATACAATAAATAAAAAATACATTTGCATATTATATTAACTAAGCTGTCTAAATTGAAAGATGTATCCAAATATGTATTCTGGGCCTATCCAGCTCATTGCTTCTGATATGATAAATAAAAAATAATAAATTTGCATATTATATTAACTAAGCTATCTAATTGAAAGATGTATCCAAATATGTATTCTGGGCCTACCCAGCTAACTGCTAGACCAGGATGGCACTGTGAGCTTGAATGCATGATAAGGTAACGTCTAAGCACCAGGGATGATGCAACACAGTAAGTGTCTGTCTGGGGTTTTTTTATAAACGTGAAACAGCCAATTAGTTGTGTGCTGGTGAGCTGGTATTGTTGGTGATAAGGAGAGACTGTGATATTTGTACAGAGCTATTTGTAATTTGTGCTACTGAAACTTCAAGATGAAAGCCTTCCTGATTTGGAACGAAAACTCAGCCATTTGCCTAAGTGCTGTTCTAATCAGGTCTGGTTGCTGCTGATGCGATAAATAAATAAATAAATCAGGTACCTCCAGATTATTGATTGAGAGCTTTTCTTGCTCATAGACTGAGCAGTATAATATTCCCAAAAATACAACTGTTTTGGTGTCTCAAGTTATGCTCTGCTTTTCTGAATAATTTCATTGCTACAAGTCAAGTCACTTAGCTTTGATTTTAAAATAAAACACATTTGGACTTTGCTCACTACTTTTTACATGAAATCAAGGAAGGCTATTGACTCTTACATTTCTAAGCAACAAGTTAAAAAAAGGCTCAAGTTCAGAATTGCTGGCAGCACTATGATACTGCTGATTCTCTCAAACAGATTGCAACCCTGCATGTATGTATTCAAGGGATTTTGCAAATATGCCCACTCCTACCAGTATTGCCATGGTGAGCTCCTCTCGAATGTCCTCTAGGGCTCCAATGTCTGCCCACGTCACATCGGGGACTGTGACAAAGCCTTCTCTCTTGGCAGAGGGTTGCATTGAAGACAGTGCAACAATGAAGTCATTCAACTCAATGGACAGCTTTTGCAACTGATCCTCCCCCAGTGGATCTGGTTCCTTTAGCAACTGCAGCAGCCTTTGCAATTCATCCTAATGAAGATGAAAACAAGATATGAAATGGATATGATTAGGTGGGGGTGAAATAAAAGGCATTCAGTTACAACAAACTCAGAATGATTTGTTTAACAGGTGCCAAGATGTCTTTGTTAGGAATTTGCTGTTGTTGTGTCCCGTCTAATTGTTGGTGACTTATGGCAACCCCATGGTGAATTATCATGTTCTTTTCCCCTCAAGATTTGTTCAGACTTGCCCAATGGGTTTCCAAGGCTAAATGGTCTCCCAGAGTCCTAGTCCAACAATCAAACCATTGCATCTCACTGACTCCCTCTTAATCTTATCTATTCATTTTTTTAAAAAAAGAATTGGGTTACTAACTTACAATTGTCAATATATTGAGGACATAATTTAACATGATTTCAGCAAAACATTTGATAAAGCACTCCGTATCTCAATAAGTGAAGTACAAAAATGTTTAAATACAGTTTATATGGGGAAAGCAACTTCCACAGTCCTCTAAATGCAGTCTGACTACAACTTCAAGAAGCTTGGCCAGTACAGGTAGTCTGGCTAGTTACAAACATTTGACTTACGAATGACGTATAGTTAAGAATGGGGTGAAACAACAGGAAGTGAGAGAAATCTACCCTTCAAAAGGGAAATTCACTCATGGAAGAGTTATCATGGGGAAAAGGTGTCTCCATTGAAGCTTTATAATCAAAGTCACATTTCCAAAAATCAAATTATCACAGGGGAATGAGGCAAAATCTTCTGAACAGGGCCACAGACAGCAAAACAAACATCACTGGGCTATTAACCCTTCTCTATGATAGCCAAAGCTTATATGTATATGTACATACACACACATGTATATGTATGCATATGTGTGTGTACACACACATACACTCACACTGGATTTACACTTTAACAATGTACATGTTCCAACTTACAGATAAATTAAACTTAAGAACAAACCTACAGAACCTATCTTGTTCATAACTTGGGGGTTGCCTATATAGTCCAACAACTTCTCCCAGACTGTCACTTGTCATCTAGATTAGCACATGTCAGTAGCATGCAGGTCAGGAAATTCAAATAACTTAGCTCTGTTTACATCTTTAGGATGTTAGACTATCCATTCTTATCCCATTGTTACTAGGATTACATTTTATTTCATTCTTCCTCCAAGCAGTTCAGGGCAGCACATAAGATTCCCTGCCCCAAACTGAATCCAAAGATGAGTTCTACAGAACCCTAAAGCTTGCTCACCACTTTTTAAATGGACCCAAGGAATCTAAAATTATACTGATAGTTTTTGACTTATTTATTTTCCACAAAATCTTTTTTTTGTCCTAGAAAAGGGAGTTGGTTTTATACCACCGAACAGAGAAATATTAAGGAGTTAAAGTAGACTCCAGTCAAGCAAATATATACTTTAGTGGGTAGATCTGTCTCTTCAGTATCGTTTCTTGCAAACTCTTCTATATTCCTCTTCATGTCTTGTCCAGATGCTCCTTCTTCCTTTCTCATTACTTCCTGTTTCTTGACATCCGGTTTAACAAGAACTCTATTGACTGCACACATTGCTGCCTCACGGCACAGTGCCATGAGATCAGCACCAACGTAGCCGGGAGTCATATGAGCCAAGTGACCAAAGTCAAAGGATTCTCGGAGTCTAAGTTTTCGACAGAGTGTCTTTAGGATTCTGAGGATAAAATAAAGGTCTTCATAAATATTTCAAGTCTTCATTAAAAGAAACATACCAGTTCTTTAACATACATTCTGAGGATCTACTAAAGAGAGAATGAGACAAGGCCACTCAGTTAAACAAAGAAGCAAACAACATACACAGTAATAACAGTAACTACTTTAGTATTCAGAATAATCGGGGGTAAAGTATCTTTTGTTTTCTCACTTTTTAAAACTGGAGTATGATTGTGTTGTTGATAAAGTTAACATGTCTGAGTGCTACAAAGTCACATGACTGCCAACAGAAAAAAAGGCTTCATCCTTTCCCAATTTATAGTATGTACTAGATATATGGTGAAGGGCTCATGAAGCAGTGAATGATTTTTGATTATATACTGAAATGATCATTGAAACACCTAAATGCATTTCAACATTGCATTTAGGTGTTTAGCACAGCTGGTTAAGCTGCCAGCTGCAGAAAATCCTATTGATTAAAAGGCAGACAGTTCAAGCCTGGGTTAGGGTAAACCCCCAACCATCACCCCAGCTTCTGCTCACCTAGCAGTTTGAAAACAGCAATGTGAGTAGATAAATAGGTGCCACTTTGGCGGGGAGGTGGTAAAAGGCTTCCATGTGGACATGCCAGCTATTTGATTGGGAGAGCGTCTAAGGACAACAAAGCTCATCGGCATAGATGATGGAGCGACAGCAGCCCCTGTGGCCGGAGTTGAGCACAGCCAACTCCAAGATGTCAGAGATGGAAAAAGATGGGAAGCCTTTATCTCAGTTTATGTACTGTCTGTCTTTGTTAATTGTATAATTGCATGGAATGTTTGGTATATATGAGTACTGGAATCCACCTTGAGTCCCCTCGGGGAGATAGAGCAGGATATATATAATAATATACTTTATATTTTGTCCTGGTGGCGTAATGGGTTAAACTCTTGTGCCGGCAGGACTGAAGACCAACAGGTCAGAGGTTCGAAGCCAGGGAGAGCGTGGATGAGATCCCTCTGTCAGCTCCAGCTCCCCATGCTGGAGAGAAGCCTCCCACAAGGATGACAAAACATCCGGGCATCCCCTGGACAACATCCTTGCAAATGGTCAATTTTCTCACGCCAGAAGCAACTTGCAGTTTCTCAAGTTGCTTGTGACAGAAAAAATATATATTATTAACATATCAAAAATGTTATCAACCAATTAGTTATGTGGGTGTCAACACCGTTTAAGTTTACAATGATAACTCTGTACAAATTAAAGGCTTCTCAACCTCCATACCGCCAAACATCTGATAATGTCCAACTAGTCCAACGCTCGGCAGCCATGATTTTAACAGGAGCGGAGCGCAGGGAGCATACAACCCCCCTGTTGCGCCAACTCCACTGGCTACCGATCTGCTACCGGGCTGAATTCAAAGTGCTGGCGTTGGCCTTTAAAGCCCTAAACGGTTCCGGCCCAAGCTACCTATCTGACCGCATCTCTGCCTATGAACCCACCAGGACTTTGAGATCTTCCGGGGAGACCCTGCTCTCGATCCCGCCTGCTTCTCAAGCTCGGCTGGCGGGGACGAGAGATAGGGCCTTCTCGGTGGTGGCTCCTCGGCTGTGGAACGCCCTTCCTACGGACATTAGACTAGCACCATCTCTAATGGTATTCCGCAAAAAGGTGAAGACCTGGCTGTTTGTGCAGGCGTTTGAGTAATTTAGTGCAATCTGGTAATGGAACATAGGAATGGAACAATGGACGACGAACCTGGACTACGCTTGGATGATGAGAAGATTGGGTACGGTTGTTTTTCATAATAATTGTGCATTGTAATTGCTTATTGGTAATTTATGGATAATGTGTTAAGTCAATTGTTATATGTTGTATGGAACCACTGCTGTTTCTACTGTTTTTACTGTTTGTGAACCGCTGTGAGTCGCCTTCGGGCTTGAGATACAGCGGTATATAAGCAAAGCAAAGTAAATAAATAAATAAATAAATGTCCACCTCCTTTGGGCTATCACACCATTTAGTCTGTAAAAAAGCTGTCCATTTGCGGAAACAAAGGACTTTTAAAAATGGCTAATTGCTACAAGTAACTATGCAATTTGGGCATATGTATGATTGTAGCTGATGAGAACAGGTTCAACGCTCTCACTTCACAAAGCCCTTGATTCTTCAATGGGCAATGAAACATCCTATTGGTGCCCCCCACTCTTTCCAATAAGATATTTCTTCAAAGCCAAATAGTACACAAGACAAAAAGGTTGGCTAGACTACAGGACACTATTCACTTCTACCCTATGGCTAGAAATTACATATTAATTGTCTTCATCTTCACTAGGCCAGCCTAGGCTCTGGCAACAAATTCATGCCAATCACATCAAGAATGAAATGTGCTTCAATCAGAGGTTCAAAAAAGTTAAAAGGACGAAAGGAAAGAAAAAAAAGTTTGGGCACTAAATAGTCCAAACACTTGAGCAAGAGGATGAAATACTCTGTGATCAAAATCTGCCCCAGAGAATGTGAAAACATTATTATGTAGTGTAAAGATGTGGAATGAGGACCGGGTTGATTAACTATATATTTCCTCAGAAGAGGCTCCAGAATTCATGACCCATCATGTAGTACTTCCTAGGTGACTGTGGAAGAACCACCAGTGCTGTAAGGGATGTGTTTAAGTTCAGGATCTTGGTAGTAAAAATCAGAATCCACCCACACAAAAAATAGGGAAAAAAAGGCTGACAAACTTTTCTCTGGCTGCTTCATCTGGAATTCCCAAACAAATTTCTCGGTCAAATCTTCCTGCACGTCTCAAGGCTGGCTCCAACGAGTCAGGCCTGTTGGTTGCTCCAATTACCAGCACCTGAGCAGTGCCAGCCAGATTATTCAGGTCTGAAGGACAAAGGAAAGAAACAACAAACATATATACAACTAGTGAGACAGGCTGTGCTTTGTATCAAAACATTGCTGTTTATGCTACACAGCTTTAGATGTTAGGCTTATTAATTATAGTACACACTGATGCAGAACAGAAAGATTAGTCTCCTAAAGTGTGGCACACCCTATCGGGGATGGTAGTCTGACTCCATCTGTGCTGCCCTACAGCAGAACTGCAAAAGGCTAACAGGCTGCATTAGCACCTTAGGAGACCTTAGGGGATCGCACCCGTTGTCATCCTACCAGAAGATCAAATATATTTTGTTCCTAAACACCTCTAATGGGTGTTGGGGCTTTTGGGGTCAAGAAAAACTTCTAATTACTTCTAGAGTATAGTGTCTAGATCCAGGGAAGTCATGCTACCCCTCTATTCTGCCTTGGTCAGACCACACCTGGAATACTGTGTCCAATTCTGGGCACTGCAATTGAAGGGAGATACGTAGATGTTGACAAGCTGGAATGTGTCCAGAGGTGGGCAACTAAAATGATCAAGGGTCTGGAGAACAAGCCCTACGAGGAGTTGCTTAAAGAGTTGGGCATATCTGCAGAAGAGAAGGCTGAAAGGAGACATTATGGCCATGTATAAATATGTGAGGGGAAGTCAAAGGGAGGAGGTTGTTTTCTTCTGCCCTGGAAACTAGGACGCGGAATAATTGCTTCAAACTACAGGAAAGGAGATTCCACTTGAACATTAGGAAGTACTTCCTCACTGTGAGAGCTGTTCAGCAGTGGAACTCTCTGCCTTGGAGTGTAGTGACTCTCCTTCTTTGGAGGCTTTTAAACAGAGGCTGCGTGGCCATCTGTCAGGGGTGCTTTGAATGCAATATTCCTGCTTCTTGGCAGGGGGTTGGACTGGATGGCCCATGAGGTATCTTCCAACTCTATGATTGCCATATCTCTCCTTAGGTCACACAATAAACAACATGGACAATGTGGGGTAACATCAGAAATACATACAAATGTTACCTTCTCATTAAATCAAGGATGGAGAACCTTAGGTCTTTTAGATATTTTAGATTGCAATGTGTTTTGACAACACCTTTATCACTGGCTATGCAGAACAGGATCCAGGGAGCAGGAGCTCAAAAGATCTGGAAGACGTAAGGCTCCAGTACTGGTGAAAAGCCCTTCAAGGTATGACTTCATGCTATTTGAAATGCTATATCCATCGATGGTATTTCACCTACATCCACTTCTGCTCTAAGGTCTTCAGAGAAGTACATCTCTCTCTCTCTCCCACTACCTTCTCAGCCTTGTTTATCTGGAACAAAGGGAAGGGTTTTCTTAGTAATTGCTCCTAGCCTTCAAAAATAGGACGGCTCCCTCTCCTTACTCTTCTTCTACTAGCTAATAAACACATTCTGTCAGGCTTTGAGAAAGTGATTGTGATTAATATTTATGGTTAATTAATAATTATTAATTAATTAATATGGTTTATTGTGCTATTAGTTTGATTTTTATTTTGTCTTTGAATTACTTGTAAAGGTTTTTTACTTTCCAGATTATTTGGTTATTTAAGGTATGTTTAAGGTATCTTTTATATTTATATTTTATACAGGGTCAGGCAGCATAACTTCCTTTTTTCAAAACTTAATAAAACCCATTGTATGAATCAGAATTATTTTTTAATAATGTAGGCGCATACCTAAAGTTTTGTTTTACGTAGTTTTGAAGATCAAATTAGGTAGGTGACGTCCCCCATTCTCCATACACTGAGTAAACCGATTTCTGGCGTTTGTCATGACTCTTGCCAGCATAGCAGGCATTATGTTGGCAATTTCTTCCGGGATGTTGGTCTTCAAATCTTGTAGGGTCCTTGGATGGTTCACATAAACATGGGATTTCAAAAAGCCCCATAGAAAAAAATCACAAGGGGCCAAATCTGGAGAGCGGGCCGGCCACTCCAAATCTGCTCGAAAAGTAGGCTTCAACGGCAAAAGCACGCTCCTCACTGTTCCAACGCATGATGGCGACTGAACTGTGTCAGGACAAAACTTTATACTCCCGCCTCTCGAATGAGACCACTAGAGCTCCGCTATGTCTTCAACCGACTGAATGGCGCGCATTTTAAAAAAGGAAGTTATGCTGCCTCACCCTGTATATTGTTAATATTTTTATTTTGTATTATATTATTTTTATTACATTACTTTATGTTATACTACTTAATATATCGCTTATATTTTATTGCTGTGTTTGTACAGGTTCACCTGTATTGTTCTTGACAAGTTGCTTTATGTCTCATTATTGGGAAAAACGTGGGATGTAAATGAATGAAATAAATAAACAGTCCCCTACAATCTAAATATAATACTGAAAGAGTGATTGCTGCCAGACGAATACTACTTATTATGGCACTGTTAAGCCTTCAAAGCTCTTTATAATTCACCATTTGTTACATCTTCAGCTATGTTTAACATCATAGAATCATAGAGTTAGAAGAGACCTCATGGGCCATCCAGTCCAACCTCCTACCAATTAGCAGGAAAATCGCATTCAAAGCACCCCTGACAGATGGAATACTTTGAATCAGTTGGTATGATCTATTTTGTAGAATCATGGAATAATAGAGTTGGAAGAGACCACATGGGCCATGTAGTCTAACCCTCTGCCATGCAGGAAAAGCACAATTAAAGCAGCCCTGACAGATGACTAGTCTGAAGGGTAGACTAAGTACAGACTAGAAAAGACAGCTGGTTGTGTAGAGCCCCCTAGTGAGTTCAAGAAGAAGTAGAACTTTAAATAGGAACTTCCAAATATTCAGCTTTTAACCACCGCATAATATGAAACCCCATACGAGATCCCAATTATGCAAAGACAAACATTGAAAAAAAATCCAGCACAAGTTTTCAGGTACCTCTGAAGAGGTCAGAAGGATATAAAGTGCATCTCAAAGCAGGGGAAACAAGAAAAGGTGGGACTACTTGGAATTTGGCTGAAAGATGTAATGTCAGGCCACATTTTGTGGCTGTCCTAGTTTTTTGAGTTGCTTGCCTGACTAGTGGATACAGAGGAAAGGAATAAGTCAGAGCAGCAGTTGTGCCCCTACTTAGGCAACACAACAACAACAACAAAAACAACAACAACACCTAAACCCAAAACCCATTATTTCAGCCACTTCTGCTGCAAGAAGGATCATTTTAACACACTGCACGACCACTTTACTCAAAGCTGATAAGCCTAGGTCTCTGAAGACTTCTGGCTTATCTTAATCCTCCCACACTTTGCCACTTGGCAGGAATCCCATCATTCCTCTCCTTGTCGGAGTAGACAAGGAGAACAGTGTGGTTTTCACAAAGAGTTGCAGAAAACATTTGATCTTGCGATGCCTCATCATTACAGGCAACTGCTAGTATGAAAGGCACATCAAAACCATATTGACTGAAAATTGTATTTATCTGACTGGATGCTGTGATTATGCATAACACTTTGTCACAGTAACAGCTTTCCTCAGCACTGTTTGACCTTTAGCAACACATTTTGTTTTCTTTTGGCAGTACCCAATTAATCTGTGTATCTGCAATCTGTGATGAAACATGCATTTGACAAAGTGGGCTCTGTTCCATGAACACATTCGCTTGAGAAATATGCTACATTTTTAGGTGCCACTGGATCGTTCATTTATGTGCGTTCTGCTCTTTCTCTCTAATATAATTCATCCTTGGAATTTGAGACTATAAAAAGAGATCTGGAAAAGCCATAGCTGGCAAGACACAAAACTAAAAAGTTTCTTTAAATGCAAACAAATATCAAAATTAGACCTTTCTCTAAAAAGCTAGATTCAATGAAGCAATTTACTCATAGTGTGGAGACTGGGGGCAACATAGAATGGGACGGGAGAGGACTAACCATCCATGCAAGTCAGAAGCTGGGCCACAATTCTCCGTTCCATATCCTTTGAAGCAACTTCCCTTTTGGGTGTGATGGCATCAATTTCGTCTAAGAACAGAAGGCATGGGGCATTGGCCTAAGAAGTAAGGGGGAAAATACATCAGGAATGATACAGAAACTTGAAAGAAACTTTCAGCTTATTATGGTTTTTTTTCAAAATTTCAAATAAAATAGTAGCTGGGAATTCTGTATGGTACCAGTGGCTTGAACTTCAAATAGTAGCTTTAATCCAGATACATATTTTATGAACAATCTGGCCACAGAAAACTCTACCTCCTACAAGGGATTTCCCCAAACCTGTATCCATAACCACATAGAACAGATTTGGGAGAGAGATATGGGAGAAAGTAGTGAATCACAGCTCCCCAAATCTTCTGCCAACACGAACTCTTGAGTGGCAAAGCAATCAGGAATCAATATCAAATGGACAGACTGTAGCTAAACTAGCAAATAGAAGGAAGAACGAGAGGAATGGAATGAGATTAAAGATATAATACTGAAAATATAAATATAAAAAGATTGCAGCAGCAGGTCTCACCACTCGTCACCAGCAACAAAGAAACAAGAGAGATTTCCCCCTTCGGAATATCCATATAGATAAAACTATAGGAAGTTGCAATTGGTTCTTTTGCCTCAGTGTACTCCATCTATACTGGTGAGACATCATTACTGCAGAATATTAGAAAAGGGATTTTCCAAGCCCCACAAAGAGATGCTAGGAACCAAGGCGGAAGCTTTTCGTTGAAAGGTATGTATGCAGTCCTTCCTCCTCATGTGTTATCTTTACAAGAATCTCTTATCTGAGGTTTACATGAGAAGTTGAATGTTATGACCAACTAGATGTTATTCATATAAACCTGAAACTAATCTAGATAAAAACAACTGTACTAGACATATTAACAACGATTTATTACTTGATTTGATTTTCTATGGAATGTATGGTTTCTTTATTCAATTTTAAAAAACATAATATCCCAGCTCAGTTTCAGAGATTTCTTTCAAAGAGAGAATCTATTTACAATTACTGCTCCCTTCTTCACCCTGTTTACCTGCTGCCCTGCAAATAAGCGGAGGATTTCATCCACTCCTTACTTTCCTCTCATCAATTCTTCAAGAGGCACTGGAGGAACGCTGTTAAGATATGATTTCCTCCTTTTATCAATTACGTCTTCAAACCACCCAACCTTGCTCCACCAAAAGCAGATTATTAGGGTTGTGCATGGATCTGTTTTCAAAAAACGGTCTTTGGCTGGACTGGCTGCCCATAACAGCATGAGGTCTGCCACCAATTTTTTTGGCCATGATAGAACAGTGGCTGCCGAAAAATAGCTGCTTTTGGTTTCTTTTGGCTTCATGTGGCGTGTGGGGAAGGAGACATCTGCTAGAAGGGAAAGGATCCCAGGAAGGGTTTTTTCTTAAGCCCTTGCCTTAAACCCAAGTCTCCTTGAAAGACAGAAGGGAAAGGGTCACAGAAAGAGTGGTTTCTTAAGTCTGATGCCGGAAAGGTGAGCCTCATAAGTTTCCCATTGTTGCCAATGGGCCAGATCTTCACAAATCTTGCAAAAAATTGTTTTTTTGCCATTCGCAGATTTTGGGAGGCTCTTGAAAGCGGATCTGGGTACCCACCAAAATTTGGATACCAAAATTTTGGTGCAATTTGTGGTCCAGTCAAATTGCACAACCCTATAGATTACTTCACCTCGTTACCTGGCTGAAATTAGTGTTGCTATCCTTGAATGACAGCTACCTGCCAACCCTGGAGCAACAATTGATTTTCCTATACAGGCAAAGAAAAATATTATTTGAAACAAATGAAAAGTACATGAAGACTTTACAGTATAGTTTGCATTCTCACCACAGCTTGGTCAAAGAGCTCCCGTAGCTTTTGTTCTGATTCACCAGATACTCCTGACACAATCTCAGTAGCAGCTACTTTAAGTATTGGCAGTTCAAGTTCCTAAAACAAAAACAGAACCACACAAAAATACTCATCAAGTTTCAGAAGGATAAAAACAGTCTCTATAGCACAGGACTGAACTGCTGGGGGCTGGGTAGACAGTAGCAATTACTGTAAGCCATTTGCTGAAAGTTACACAAGACCTTGCTGTGCTTTGTTCAGCATATAGGGAACCAGCAGGGAGCCCTGGATTGTACAATTGTGGCTTCTAGGAAAGGTTGGACGACAGAAAGAAGAGGAAGACAAAACTTGTTAACAAGGCCCTATTTTTCAGAAACTTGAAGAGTAGACAAGAACTGGGTATTCCAACAGAAATTATGTCAAAAGCTGAAGGATTACAAAATGTTTTCCTCTATGTTCTTGCAAGGTTAGGCACTCAGAATACTGCAAAATGAACTGCAGGGATTTGTTTTGCGGTTTATGCAGGACTTGCACTTAATCTACAATATGCTGAATTCCAGATCTATTGGGAGCAACAGTAATTTAGAAACTTAAAGATATATGTATGGAGTTTGTTTCTAAAAGGGACTAGATAAAATGAGTTTTAGGTGGCAGCATGTTGTTGGCTAGAGTAGAATATTATGTACACAACTATCAATATGTATCAAATCATTTTGGTACAGGGCTCGAAAAATGGCACTTTGCAACAAAAGGATGCATTTTTTTCAATTCCTTTAAAATTTGTTCAGATGGGTTTGGTACCTTTTGGAAGCAAGCTCCACATAGGGTCTTAGCTGAGGATTATGCAACTAGCCTTCAGATTACGGATTGTGGCAAAGGGTATGGACCCGTTTCTCCACACCATGGCTCCCTCGTTTGGCATTTTTTTTCAACAACTGGTTTCAGTTCTCCTTCCCATTGCCCTACATGGAAGTTCCTGCAAATACCTGCAAAGTTCCCAGACTAATTCAAAATAACTGAGGAAATTCATCTCTGTAGTCTACAGGGGGCAGGGATGACACAGGAGTCTCTACAGACTAGATACTTGCCTTATTCAGATCAGCAGTCATCAGCTGCACCCTTTCAGATTCTAAACCATATTTAGAGAAAAAAAAGAGCACATGCCAAATAGCCTCACCCCAGCGATTGCCTGTGCTAGTAATGTTTTTCCACAGCCTGGGGGCCCATGTAAGAGAAATCCTCGGGGTGGAACAGCTCCTAAGTGGTTGTACACTTCAGGATGACGGATGTGCACCAGCATCTTGCATACTTCCTACAATGAAAATGGGAGAGTTGGGCTATTTATAGAATTTGTAGGACTTAATACAGCAAACAGAAATAATGCTGACTTGATAAAATTACTCAATGCTATTAGTGTTGCATCAGTACAAGGGCAGACACAGCACAGATTGGGATGAGAATATATTTTCATTGAAATGAAAAAGCTGGTTTTAGAACCGACATTTCTAGTCCTCATTTGTATCTTTTCAAGATGTGTTTGAAAGTTCACTTACAATGTAAACTGCAAACTGTACAACCAGAAAAAAAAAATACTAGGCGAGATTTTAGAGAGACCAAGCCTTTAGTGCTCACTTACACAACTGGCAAAATTAGAATTATGCAATTAAGCAAATTTGCAGAGTTTTAATTTTTCTTTTT